CCACGTAGAGAACAAAACTCGATCTCAAGCATTCTGCTACAGTTTCAAAAAGACACTCCCTGAAACTTGAGGAAACACATTGCATAATGCAGGGTCTGTTTCCTTAAACCTTTGCTTGAACTTTCTACACCAAGTCTTCGACAATGACACACGGTCGCCCACTACACTCCTTATATGAACATCAGAGCATGCTCTAATCCATTTTCTTACCATTCCAGCGCTCATAGTGTTTTCTCCATATACTTCACTAATTTATCGATAAATTTCGGCCGTTTTCCCGTCTTTTGCATTTAGAAAATGAATTTCTCAATTGGCAGGATTTAAGGCAATTTAAATACGCACAAAGAAATGTAAACGTACCTTAATATTGGTGGTAAGTATTTTGAAAAGTAGATCAAGGTACAGGTTTTCATGTAAAAATAAAAAAAAATAAAAAACTTTATAATTTAAAAATTATATTTTTAATATTTAACTCGTATTTATTAAAAAACATACCTCGTATAATAAAACTGTATGTGGAACATCTTCGCTGATCTAAATGTTGTGAAATTATTGATAAGACTGTTACAAAGCAGTGAAACGTAGTCTTACTAGAAGCAAGAAAAGCTAAGAACTAATTTATTTTGCAACTTGGCAAAGTAGACAGTAATTGACTATAATATTAATGAAAACAAGCGACCGTTGTTTTAGATCTTGATAATTTACACCATCGTTTCCAGTTTTAAAAGACAATTTTTTACTTTATATGTTAAAAATAAATAGTAAAATAATCCCCAAAATCCCTCCCGACGTTTAAAAGTTTCAGTATTTCAAAATAAACATGTAAAAAAAAAAATTCTAAACATTATGGCAAACATATGCACTAATATCATTAGAGTTAATATATAATTATAATAAACTAAAAATCACATAAAACAACAGTTCCTCCCTCGGCAGACAATATAAAATTTTTGAAATACAGCTTTCACAGGTGCTTGTTGTCATTCTTACGATCCCCACACGAGTTTTAACATCAGGAGCAGCTTTAACTTTTGTCCGACAAAAAGCCCTTGAAGAGAAGTAAATTATCTTCCTTCAATAGTGCAAGAGCACAAAGAGAAATGTTATCTTCGGAAAACTGCCATTTAGCCCTTTGTTTGCAGGTGGCTAACATAATCGCGGTGCCATCTTTTCCACACCTGCTAAACAGTTTTTGACCTCTGCCAATGTGTTAACCTATTACTTGGCCTGTCTAAGAGTTCTGGTTCTGGTATTGCGTTTATCGGATATTCTATCAAAAAATGGTCGCACGTTAAAGCCTCATAATCTTGTGCTTCTGGAGATAAAGGGTTAAGGGGTCACGAATTGAGAATGTCCTCAATCTAAGCAGAAATAGTTAGTAGTTCTTGTAAGGTTAGCTTGGTTTCTCCAATGGCTCTTTTTTAGGGTGGTGTTGAAGGACTCTCAGAACCTTCAGAACTTTCCGACGTTTAAAGCTTTTGGCGGAAGAAATTTCCACAGTACTTTCTGAGAATCCAGGAAAAACCTGATAATTTTTTATCGAGAGTTCTTACAAGATTTTTACAAGCGTTTCAGTTCCAGATGAGCACCTTTGAAGTTGGCTGCGTCATATGAAAATTACGGAATTTCTGCCTCGTCGTGTAAAGAAACTTTTCAAAGCTGTGATTAAAGCTTCTGTTGTTAGATCTGACACTATATCAAAATGTACGGCTTTCGTAGATATACATATGAAAATTGCAATGTATGTTTTTTTTTTTTTGCTTATGACAATAATTTCTGTAAAACCCGTTTTCTTTGCTTTATGACAATAATTTCTGGGCATAAAAAAATCACCAAAAATACCTAAGAACATCCAATTCTTTTACTTACGTTTCTTGACTTACGTTTCCCGAATTTTGAATTTTGAATTTCTTTTATTACCTAGTTCAAATTTTTGTAAGACTTTAACGAATTTTTGATTAACAAACTCAACGATTTCAGAGAGAGCAATGCAATACTGCACAGAAAAAGCATTTTTATCTCCAGCGCGCGAGACTGTGTATCGGAAATTCTAAAGATACGCTGAATTTAAAACTATTTTGCGATATTATATTTCTCTTGAACTGAATTTTATGGTTTAAGTGCGATGAACGTGATATTTAAAAAATAAAGGTAACAGACAAAATGTTAAAAAAACGCCCTTTTGGACGTAATTTAAAATCTGAAACCTTTCCGATTTTTATTATTTTTATTTAAATTGGTTTATTATACTATTATAAATTAGTTTCTTTTTCTTTCCTATTCTTTTAATTTGAATTTTTGCAACATTGGTGGCTTAACAAACAGCATGCCTTTCTAAAGCAATCATGCTTAAACACATTCAGTGAAGGGGGAAAAAAAAAAAAAAAAAAAAAAAAAAAATGACTAGTAACTGACTGACCAAGAAATTAATCAGGAAAATGTATATCAAGCAAATATGTATTTATTAATAACTCCTCCTCCTTTTTTATGAAATGTATAAATTGGGTAAAGTGTAATCACCCAAATGTAATGGCCTTCCTGATTTTTCTTTCAACTATTATAAAGAATACACTTATATATTAAAAACGCAACTGTTTATTTTTTATGAGCTGTTTCTTTTTTTACGTTTTAAAATTCTCCGCATTTTATTTGAGAAAGTTGAAACCTACTTAATTTCATTCCATTTTTAATTCCCATTTTCTCTTTTTCATACTTTTTCTTTTTTACATATAATCCATTTTCCTTCGTTGTTACGCAAAACTCTTTATGCGTTGAACCATGTAAAATGAGTTATTACGAATGTCAAAACTTAACTAAAAAGAAAAATTCTAAAGAGGTAAGTTTTGTTATATCATTGCTACATAATAACGTGACTTTGCTACATGTACGAACTCTTTATGTAGCATTCTGTAATGAGATTTTTACGTCATCTTGTTGAATAAATGTATTCTAGGCCAAACTGCCACTGAAAATACAAATTTATTCTTAGGCTGTACGCAAATGAGTATATTGCACACAAATGTATTATAATGTTAAAAATTATTATTAAATTAATTGTATACATGGCGTTAGAAGTGTCATCTATTATTCATAATAATAGAGCAAATGCTTATAAAAATTATCAGTTAAATATATTATAAATTACAATTAGCTGTATTATACACTGCTTCAATTATTTTATTAAAAAAATATGTAAATTATTAAAAAATGCCGTTTGCTGTTAAATCTTTTAAGTAAAGACAATTGTACCGGGTCTAATGGTGTAAACCTAATGATGAATTAGCATTTTGCTAGCCTGTATGATGTATATAAGAAAGATCTTTGCCTCGTGAAATGGTTACACTTGCTAAACTGACAGAATGATAAAATACATTCGCAGTATTAAAATAAGCAATGGGAAGTAAAAAATGAAAAGACTAAGTTATAAACGATTTTAACTTAACATCATAAATACTGTATAACATAAAATATTGCATTAAACTTTGATTACCTGTATGCGCTTCTTAGATTAGTCGTGCATTATATCCCAAAAAACTTTTTGACAGCGACTTGAAGAGCTCGATATTTCTCTTAATGAAGAGGTTAACAGCATCAAGACTTCTGATATTATTTCTGGCGTTACTGAAACTCTGAACCGTGTATGTAAAAAGATAAGAAGGATGAAATATTTAGAATTTTAGAGCTATTAAAATTTTCTCGATTTCTCGTTTGTATACAAAATGGCACACACAAAATCACAAAATGGCCAAGCTGGAGCTCTGATAATATAAAGATACGCTATTAGAAAATCTCAGTCAATAAATTAAATTTGACCTTAGTTATATCACAGTTCTGAGAACTATTTGCCATGCTGTTTGAAAGCATTTCGATATTTTTGAAGAGAAGGGAAACTGAAAAATCAATATTAATTTTATTCTACTTTTATTTAACACTATTACAAATAAAGCATTATGAGTCATTGATTTAAAAATCTCTATAAAAATCTTAAAATTAAATTAAAAAAAGGGCACTTCTGAATAAATTAGAGCTTTGCAGAGCTATTTTGAGATTATCCGAATTTTCGGACAATGCGGTAATTAACTGGCATGGAAATGTTCAGTTCCATGTGTTTATACTAGAAGCCTGGAATTTATCTTTGGAAACTGCTTAAAATCTTCGAATTCCGCGAAATGAGTGTAAAGGATTTTTTTTTTTTTTTTTTTTTCCGCAATAAACTCAAGAATTATTATGCGTAAATAAAATGTTTTACAGATATTGATTAAATAAAGGCTAAAGAAGAAAAAGGTTCAGAATAAAATAATAACTATGTGATGGTGATGATGATAGAATAATAACTTTAAAAATGAGACAGAAAGGGAAAGAAACAAAAGAAAAGAAAAAGTTAGTGTATTTTACGTCAAATCTCAACAATCATCATGGAAGGATAAAATCTTGATCCTCCTGTCATCAAGATTTTATCCTTCCATTATCAGCAAATCGCTTCTAAACATTTGACGAGATTTTTTTCTTGATTTCATTGTACTGTTTTCTTGCTTTAGCAAAATGAATACAGATCATTATTCACAAACGCTATAAATTGTTTTCCAATTCACACACAATTTATGGTAGTAATTATGGTAATAACAATAGGTAGGGGAAATGAAAAATGAAAAAAAAAAATTAAATAACCTTTTTCTAACAAAATGCTGCATCGTTTATTTACTAACTTTTCCGGTGATGCTGATAAAATTTAAAACAGTTAAATTACAGCACGATATAGAAAACGTTTTCTGATAAAGCTATACGATACTAAATATCTATATAGTGTTACTATATACTAGTGATACTATTTTAGAAATATGTATTATTGCGCATTTTGTTGGAGATACGTTATCACTTAAAAAATAAATTGTGACTTTACGGAGTAATCAATAAGATACAGTTATAAAAATATTCATTCTGAGCCTTGTATTAACCTTTTCGAGCCCGTAAGATGAGAAAGTTAGTAAACAACTACGACGTAAATGATGGCGCTGTAATCGCAAGGTCGGAAAGGTGTGTGAAAGCCAAACCTGACGGTTCTCCAATTGTGAACTTTCCGGTTGATATACCCTGGAGGCGAGTTCTTTGATAAAAAGTACGTGATCAGCTGGCTGACGTATACTCAACAAACAAGACGGATAGGAACGAAGTGTGCAACTTTACTTACTTGTGGTTTCTTATCAACACGCTAATTTTTAGTTTCTATGAGCGAGTGCAGTTGTACCGCAGTTATATTTCAGAAAATTGTTCTGTATAATATCGCTCATTATTTTGTATATAAAAGAATAAAGTTTGTGATAATTCAAAATGTCTGCAAGGCCACAGGTATGTTCTCTTTGCACTTGAGTTATACAATTATTTTATAAAATGCTACGATACATGCGAAATTAACTGTAGAATTAATAGTACTCCTAATGCATTTTCATTAGACGATTTATTCAAATTATTTTATGATCTGATGTTCATTTTCTTGATAATTAAGAAAGGATGAATGTGAAAACGTAGGTTAGTTCAAAAGTGAGAGCGAACCACTTTTATTATTTTTCAATGGAAACTTGAAAGTTTAAAATGCTTTTGTTTGTAGCAATTTCTTATCTTTGTAATTAAAATTTTAGCACAATACGTAATCTGTGTTCATTGAACCTGCTGAAATTTTTTCATTAACCATTGTCATAAGTATTTAAAGATATATAAGTTTATGATATTGCAGTTCTTTATATGTCTGTTTAACATATTTAACGAAATAAAATAGTTCAGAATTTTTCGTCTATTTATTATCCCTACTGACTTCATAAAATTTAAGTGTTTTAAATGACATAAGGTCTTTATATGTGAAATCAATGTCATAATGTTCTTTTGTATGTGTGTGGTGTTTAAAAATAATATAAAATTTCATGAAAAATTATGCAGTGAAATGTCCAATATCTGACGTACAAAACATTAGCAAATGAAACTTTTTAACAATAATGATAAGTATCGAATAGCTCAGTGAAAAATCTATGAAATCTACCTTAATCTAAACTCTTCTGTTTATATACATAAAATCTCATTTGGAAATGCAAGTTTTATAATGTATTTGCACAAAGGCATTTGAATATCTTTTCTTTGTTTGAAGCAATTTAAATTTTAATGTGATGCACGTAGTTAATTCAGAATTTTTCCTTTTATTGACTTGCTGCTGAATTTTGCTTGACTTGTATTTCTTATTTAAATTGTTTTAATTAGTAACTTTTCAGTCAATTAAAAGTTTCGTTTTATTATTTTGTAAATTTTAACATATATAAATTGTTCGCATCTAATTTAGTGTTACATTTCAAGATGGAACATTTAATATTGGCATGCATATCACAAATAATATTAAATATAAAATTATTAACGTCTGCAAGAATAATGTAAAATAACTTTTTTATGCAGTTGAAAATTACTTCTAAAATCAATGCACAAGAAAATTGTTTCACATGAATCTTATTTAATCTCGTCTCTTGCTTAGCAGGAAAGAACAATTAAAAGGGGTTTTCATCCGCAGAGAACCCGTTAGCGCTTCGGGAAAGAACCCGTTGGCGCCGTTGCATTTTTACTCGCCAAGCTCCGATGAGCCGAGCCGTAAACGTGATATTTTGTAAACGTGGTTTTAGTGTATGTAAATTCAAGTTAGCAGACAATGGTAGTAAAAATTCGCAGATAATAAGTGTGTAGATGTAAAACTAACAGGTTAAACGTGATATACGAAAATAAATTTGTATTAAATTCAAGTTAGCACAGAAAACAGTGTATTAAGCATAACGGGAAATAGAAATTCATTTAAAAAATAAAAATTAGTATTCTTATACTTACGTTTACATTATACTTATATGTATTTTCTCTAATTCATATAGAATACTAATATTTCTCTTACAAGTGTCATTTTTCATTATTAAGTACTTGGCTTGTTGATTGATTTATTTCGGTAAGAGCCATGCCCATGTAATAAATTAATGAATTAATACATCCATTTTACATAGTTTTCAGTATTTTTTTTTTTTCAAGTTACTTGCATACAGCTTAAAGCATTTTACGTTGCAACAAATACTTGTCCTTTTTTCATGATATATTTCACAATACAAATAACCTTCAACAGTAATGAAATTTTCTTCAGTAGCATTGTGAAGTTAATAAAACTAGAACTTTATACATTTTAAAATTATTTTAGGATTTGGAAACCTCATGGTTCTGCGTGCTTACAGCTGTTAATAATTAAGAACGTAACGTGAACAGCATGTTACAAATTAGTATTCACCCCTCCCGCCATATTTTCTTCCTTTGATCCCGAAATGACGAGCCGAGAACCGGCATCTTTCGACGAAAACTTCTTTAATTATGCAAAAATATTTCTATCTATTCGTTGTTAAAAAATTCAGAAAAAATAACAATAAATACGAGAAGAATAATATAAATCTCCAAATGTGAACAACAACAACAACCTTCGCACAAGCGAATAGGATGAATCAGGGATAAATAGAAGAGCTAGCTCATTTCTTTGTTCGACTCCTCGCCGACGCGAGCCTAATGGGGGGACGTAACAGGCAATAATCTGACGTCACTGTGATGCCACTTGTCCTGATTTCCCGCGTTTAAAACAGTATTTTCATTGAGCTGCGAGACGATTTTCTAGAGGTTACGTATCCCAAATTAATTTTAATAATATATATATATCTGTTTTCTAATAATGTATATATTTAAAATAATTTATACATATGTAATTTTAATCAGTTTTTATTTTAAATTCTATATTGTAAAGTATCGTTTACGTAATATGGCTTTTTGCGCTGCAGTAACATGCCGTAGCACTTACAGAAGTATGAAAGGATGAGATATTTTATTTCATGGGACCAAAGGATCCAAATGAGAGTTTGCTTTTGAAGAAAGTATGGATACACAAATGTCAAAGAGAAGATTCTATTAATGTGAAGAGCGGAAAAATTTGCAGCGAACATTTTCTATGCATTGTTTTATGAAGATGATATGAAAAAAATCGCTTTGTTTGGATAGCCACAAAAAGAACTGTTGGAATGGAATGCTGTGCCGAAAGTAAATTATGATGACAATAATAAATCGAAATTGATGATGACAATAATGAATCAAATTTTAATGATTTTGAAATAAAACTCACAAATGAAAATGTAGATCATCCTGAATGTTTAAGGATAAGCAAGAATGCATTGATAATTTGAAGAACAAAATAATATCCTTGGAAAATTGTATTAAAGTATTGAAAAATAGAGAAAAGAACAATTTTAGAATGTTTGTTCAGCGACAAAGAAGGTGGACGACATCTAGACAGAAATTGGTATCAGAAATTAAAATCTCAAATAGCGAAATTGGGGGGGGGGAGCACAAATCGGAGAATTTTGAAAAATGTCTAAAGCTTATTTTTATAAAGACGCAGATTAATGCATTACTGAAAAAGAAGAAAAAAATCAGGTGGACTAGTGAAAATATTTCACGTAGCATCGTCATAAGAGCTCTGTCATCTTAAAGCTATGATTTTTGGAAAGAAAAAAAATTGGAATATCTTTACCTGGTATTATCAAATTAAAGAAATGGTGTTTATTTTATTTTTTAGTGTTTTCTAAATTTTAGTGTAGTCCAAGAATTCAAAGTAATATTCTTACTCTAAAGAAGGAAGGAGGCGAATATTTGTATTCTGTAGAAAAAATATGCGTTCTCAGTTTCGACGAAATGCATATAGATTGAAAACTTTGCTATGACTCTAAACTGGACTAAGTTGGTTCTTTTCAAAATGTGCAGTTTGTTTTAATCAGAAGTCTCATTTCGCGCTCTGCCTCAAATTACTGAGAAACCGCGTTTTAGATAGAGGATTTGTTTTAGAAGATGGATCTGTTTTAAATTTTGATATTATTAAAGAGGTTTTAAATAGAGATTGAGAAGAAATCAAATTGTGTCAAAAACTAAAAATTATTTAATGGTTAAGGGAAACGAGAGACAAAAGTCTCTCCAGAGAAAACATTATTTTCAAAAAGTACCGCAAAAGGTATACTCTACCCCACAGGAAATCAGAAAGCATCTGACTTCTATGAGTTAATCGATAATATCTTCGGTATTATGTGTATGTGTGTATTTAATTATGGCAAAGCACATTAGGGCTATCTGCCTAAGGGGAGGGATGCCTTCGTGGAGGACTTTCTAAGGGAAACTGGCTCGTATACACGTTACACATGGGGAAAACCACGAAAACACCCATGCAGCCAGCCCGTTTGCGGGATTCGAACCTACCAGTTTGCGGGACCGAACGACCAGTGTTTAGCGACTTTACCGCTCGGCCGCTGGTGGGCCTCTTCGCTATTATGAATAGTACCAAAATAGTACCAAGAAGAATAACAAGTATTTAACAAACTAATTTTGTTAAAACGTACTTGTAAAGTTATTCTTATTGTATCCTTTGTAACTAATTATTGATTAGATTTTGTGCTAGATTAGCATTCTAGATAAAATATAATAGTATAAAACATCAAAGTAATTGGCATAAAAAGACCTGCTTCCTCACACTTTTGAAAAATTAAATAACTATTTTAGGTACTCTGAATAAAGCTATTTTGTCAAAATTAAGGTAACAATCTTATATACATTTATTTAATTGTAATATAGATATAAGTATAAATTACAAAATTATTTAAAAAATATCTATTATATTGAATCGGAAGAGAATTATAACAATGTAAAATTTACAATTAGGCAAAAAATCAAACGTAGGTTAGCAGAAATGTTGCCATATATGTCATATATGTTTAAACCTATGTCAGTGTAAAGTTGTGTTTTGAGTAAATTTAAACAGCTGCTATTATAGTTATCTTAGAAGCAGCATAAAAATTCTCTCAGTTAGCATGCAAATAAAGAAATGATTAGAAATAAACGTGCATTAAATAAAAAAAACCTGCAAATAAAAATTAAAAAAAACCACGGAACTTTATGTTAAAAGAGTAGCACATTTTATCTATTATTTTAAAATTGAGTAAGCATTATTAAATTTTTTAATGGTTCAGTCTAAAATTCATAAATCAGTAACATTGCCTCTTCCAAATTATAGCTATCTTTCACACACAGCTCATTTTAAACGCTGGTTCAAAAACGCTAATTTCCAAGCTGTGAATTATATTGGCGCGCTCAGCGTCATCATGGCTACGTCATCACTTCTCACTTTCTGCTTCAGGGGAAAAAGCTCTATGAGCTAGCCCTTCTCTTCTAAGTCCTGGGATGAATTAGCTAGGTTACCAGGTTTGAACTATTATCGCCAAAGTTGGCGATGTTTACATTTACCGGGTTCTCTGCGGAAGTGCTTCCGGATATTTTGGAGCTGGAAAAGATGAAATTATCAAAGAACAATAGTACAGTGTTGAAACTTATATGTATTTATTTACATTTAGTGTGGGAGAACATCTGTTCCTTCAGTTCCATGATATTACTATAACAGCATGAAATTCTCTATGTTTGCATGTTTGTGTATTTTAGTTCATTTGTATTCAACATATGGGCATAATCACTTTGGGTTAATATTTTCACAAGTTTGCATCATATATATGATAAACTTTATAATTATTAATCCATAAGAATTTCAACTTGTTATTAGCTGTTATGAGAATAATGGTTTTTGTAATGCATTCATAATGAAAATATAAATATATAACTATTCTACATAAAGCTGAATTTGCACATGACAGCACTCTGAAATTTGTAAATTTATGGATATGCTTTTATTTCAAGAACGTAAATTTCATTAGGATACTATAGAAAATATTCATGTTAATCCATATAAATTACAGAACAGCTATAGTTTTAGACCAGGGATTTGCAGCATCAATTCCTTTTGAAAGAATTTTCACCAACCTCCTTACATTTTTCTCTGTAATATATCGCATATGACATAATCATAATACAAATAATTTCACTTTATTAACTTAGATAACAATTAGACTAAGAATACGAACAAAAGTTTAAAAACATGGTTTATTAGATTTATATTTTATTATTATTATTACTATCACAAATATAAAAGTTTTTAGAAACAAAATCTCTGATTCTAATTGTAATTAATGTGGCGGCTATGCTGCATGTATTGGTGCAATATTTGCATAAAACTGTGTTGCCATTAAACTACTACTATGTTAAATATTATTCCATCTATTTCTTTTTTCCATAGTAGCTTGCTTCCACTAAGTAAGAAGAAGTTAATAATGTTGTTTGGTAACAACTTTCATTTTGAGATATTTCTCTTTGATGACTTTGAAATATCAAAACTCTGCAACCACACATGTGTTCTGAATAAGACTTGAGCTTAAATATGCAATCAACTCGTCTTGCATCATAATATCAAGATCAGCTATATTTGCAGTTCGGCAGTTCTGTGAGCCTTACTGGCATATACAACTTTTGGAAGTGAATAATAAAATCTTGCAGATTTTGCAAAATGGCTTGTGTATAACTATATATTTTCTGAGGAAATACCCTCTTTTCCTATAATAGACTATTTCAATAAGTAGTTATCAAAACAATGAAGTAATTTTCAATTCAGTGTCGATAATAAATAAGTCAGTTTTAGAACAAAAACCAAGGATAATCATTCTAGCTTTAATAAGATTGTCTTTTCCTTGCAATTTGTTTTACGTAATGTAGAGCAATGAATATATGTCAGTTTCAATAACCAATTATCAATTTTATTAATTTTTTCTGTAATTAGTGGGTTTCTTGATTATGCTGATCAGTTGCAGCATATATCAGGTATTAACCCCTCTATCATCATTGCCTCCTTTAAAATTTTCTATTTAAAATTTGTAACTATATTTAGTTAAAAAGGTATGTTTATTCTATTCTAAAAAAACAGGTACAAAATGTTTGACTCCCATGTGATGAAAGTTGCCAACCTGTTTAGAGCTTGAGATCATAGTACCTGAAAGTTTGGGAGTCATATACAAATTCAACACTGAAATATTTAAATTTGAAAGTTAAATCTGGCAAGGAAAGGGTTTCTGAAGTTAATAGATTATGTGACGAGCATTGATGTGTAAAGTATCATCAAAAGTTTTGATCAAAGTAATTTTTTTCAAAAAGAGATGCTAATCTCAGAACATAATTTAATTCATGTTCCAGAAAACTGTGGCATGCTTTGCAAAAATTAAAAAAAAAAATTAATCAAATGCATTTTTGGTAGAGAATGTTATGGACGTATTTTTAGTATTTTAAAATCTATAAATTATTTTTGGGAAAATGCTTTTTATAAACCAAATGTAACAAATTAAAAATACTGCACATTAATAAATCCCAAAGATATTTACTGATATCCACTGAATAATATTAAAGGGGAGGGGGTAAAAAAGGCCCTCAGATCATCTGTATTTTTTAAGTTTACCTTCAAGGAAATGTAAATATCCCTTTTTGGCACTAAAAATTCTAAAAAAATCCCAAACTTTGAAATTAATTATCTCTGTTAACTTATGATATTGTATGGAAATTAAATATTTTGTGTTCTGTTTTTTAGAGAGAGTATAAATGTTTGTTAAATATAACTTTAGACTGGGGACTTGTTAAAAAATTTAATTTAATTCATTTCTTTAAATTTAAAAATTCAATAACTTAAAAAATTTCACCATTTAAAATATTTTTGAAATTGGATGTACATATCTGTGACCAACAACTTAAAAAATAAAGACCACATAAGGAATTTTATGGATATGCTGCATATTAATAGATTAATATAATATGCAATAAAGCCTCTTAAGCAACCATCTACCTGAGTCTACCATTTGTAAATCTTACCAGCATTTCTAGGTAGTAAACCTAAGTGATAGTCATGTTCTCCAAGGTAACCAACTTTACACGATTCAAATTATTTGGAACCATGAATGATCATCATAGCATTTTATTCATTTTAATTCTGTATGATAAAAGTTGTGTTAAGCATAATCTTATTCAATATAACACTGATCTCTTTATATTTCTGTAAGAATAATCCAAAAGAAAAAAAAAATTGTTTTGCAGCTACATGAAAAGGAGACGGGAAAAAAAAGCCCATCTTCGGCTTTTCCTATGAGAGATGCATTGTATATCTCAAATTCGGAAAAAACTTTTGCTCATGATGAAGCTTTGCCAAGTCTTCCAGTTCCAGCTCTTAATCAGACTATTGAGAGATATTTAGATTCTGGTAAGTATAAAATATTGAGTTTAAATTTTGTGGCAATTCATAACATTAAAAATTGAATATGATTTTACAAAACTATCAAATTTTGTATCTTATAATTTTACTGATGTTGTGCTGCTGCAAATCTTAAATCTGGACTGTGAAAAGTCTTGTAAATATGATTAATTAAATTAAAATTTTCAGAGTATAATATCCGAAATTATTCTGTCTTCAAGGAAGACAGGAAGTACACCTGATATTGGTTGCAAGGCTTTGAGCATTGATGATTACAGAGCAACTTTAGTTCAATTCCATACTAATTTTGAGAGCATCTCAATTTATAAGATCTGAAGATTTTATATATAGGGTAATGTCTCCCATATCCACAGGTATTACATTGTAATACGTATCACAGATACTTGAAACTGTTAATAATACTGAATGCCATATGAAGTGGGATATTCGCTTAGCATATATAATAATATTTAAGTTTAATTGATAAATTAAGTAAACCATTAGCTGCATGGAAGAATGTAAAGTATTCTGTGTGCTGTAATATTACATTCTACACTACTAAATAAAATAGTGTTTAATGTGTTGTACATTAAATTCATTCTGGTATTATGATATTAATTGATTCAGGTATTTTACTTTAATCAACAAATGGTGAAAAGGAAAAAGAAGAAATATATTTTTTGTTGTAACATAAAATACTATCTCAAAGAATGGTAGAAAAAAAAATTATTTGTTTAATTAGTACTAATGCATAAATAGTGCATTAGTAGTTTCTTAGCTTTTGCAGCATCATTTCTCATAAGTATTTGGACACTTGTAATGGTAAATAACTTTTAATAGTAAGAAAGCTGCAAAAGCACATTCATAATAAGATTAATGCTAAAAGTTACAAGCATGAATAAATTATAAAATGATGGGTTTGAAAATAAAAAGTCAAATGACAGTTGAGATTCTGCATCGACGTATTTATGACCATAAGTTGTTGTGTGAGCTCACAGTTTATGGAATTTCCTACATCCTGAGAATATACAAAAGACTCTGCAGTGAATATTTTCATTTCAAATATTTAGTTATATTGACTCAAACATGCACGAGATTGCTAGGAACATAGCATTAGACATGTTAGAGCTGCTATATTTCTGTTACATTGCAAACCGTTATTTTGCTTGTATTTTGAAACTTATGATAATTTTTTCCCTTTTGCTTGTTTACCTGCAGACATGTGAAACTGAATACTGAATCAGCAGACATGGGAAATAAAACTGTACTTCTTTTCCTACTACCAATCTCATACTAGAATGTTTGGATTGAAGAATTATGCGAGCAGTGATTCCACAAAGATTGTACACAGCCGTTCATTCATTATCTGGAATTTGAATTGACTAATACACGAAGCAAAACTGTATTTCTTTTCTTACCAGCACTCTCATAATGGAATGTTTAGATTCAAGAATTATGAGAGCTGCCTTTCCTTTCCTTAAAGACATTGCTAAATTTATATGCATTAAGTGGTATTAGAATTCAAGCCCATTGGTATAAGTAACCAGTTCTATGAACAATTTCTTAGGTTACTGAGGCATTATTTTATAGCAACAATCAGTTAGTAATTTGGATATTTTTTTAAGGAAAACTCAATTCTTAGTTGAATAAATTGTCTTATTCTTGATACAAAATTCAAAAATGTAGATTTTTCAGCAAAGATTATTAAAGATTAGTCAATATAAACTTCCGTGTGATGAACAAAATCATATATTTTATTGATAATGAAGTTTAACTTTCATAGTAATATCTGCAATAGAATATGGTTATGAATTTTGTACTTAGATAGGTAATTTTAGTGAAATTAGAAGTAAAATTGTTTTATTTTTCTCTGTAAATTAACAAGAAAAATCTAAAGCAAAAAGCTATGCTAGAATAGTAAGAACATGGGGGGGGGGCAAGTTCGTTTAACTTTGAGTAAATGGGTATCTTGGTAATTTTGGTGACCATTTGTCTATATTTTGGTCTGATCCCTGTTGTATCACCGTAATAAGTATTGTTAATGAGTAAATATAATTGGTCACTATATTAACTGTAACTGTAATTTGATCCTCATACTACCTTCCAGTAATTTCAAGAAGTAGAAAGTGTTAGGAATATCTTGGCAGCTGGGTGAAACCTATGTAAGGCCAGAGAGAAAGCATGTGCTCTTTTTAAATTCAATTTTTTTAAAAAAAAGTATTAATATTAATTATCAATTATAGACAATTGATTATTAGATAATTATTAGACAATTCATCTAAGTTGTTGGCATAATTTAATTCATAACTTTCAGTTTAATTTAATTAGTGATACTGTCTCTCCCCAGGCATTCTGGTGTTTGACACTATTCAGTTTGAACTGCTCTCAGTTGTTGTTAACTCAATGTGAGCTAAGAGTACTATCTCCAGTTTAGCTTTGCTGTTAAGCTGTGCTTTGTACTGTATTATGTTGTGTTTAATATTCATAGTAGTTGGAAGTGTAACTAGTGATTATATTCTGTGGTATTGTGAAGATTCTGTGGTTATATTATTCTGTGGTTCTATTTTTGTGGAAAGCTCCAGATCTCTGAAGTGGTTCTTTTGATAAAATAAATTTAATCAAAACACATCATTGGAGCTGTGTGCATTAAATCTATTACGAACCCATATACATGCAACAATATATTAACCTTATACTGTATCTATGGTTCCAACTCAACCTCACCTCCCACATACACACACACACACACACACCAAAAAAAGAATCTTTGTATCAATATTTATACAGTAAGTTTTTTCATTTTTATATTTTAGTGGAAGTTTTCGTCACAGATGAGGAGTTTGAGAATACAAAAAAGATTGCTTTAAATTTTATAAATGGTGTAGGAAAAGAGCTTCATAACAAGTTGTTGCAAAGAGCTGTTAACCAAAAAAACTGGGTAAGTTTTATTATGTAAAATTTTTGATGGAATTAGAATTTGTTTATGTAAATGATAGTCAGAGATTGTATCAATATATATTTCAAATAAACTAATATAAAACATAATACTAATACAAATTCTCATAGCAGCTTCTATCTGTTGGTGATCATATTTGTTGTATGCTATTTTCAGTGGCATCAGTGAACCAATAAATTTTGTCCTTTTTAGTTTCTTCCTTAAAAGATGCAAATTTATTTTCCTAGTTATCAATCCATTTTTACTGCAAATACATTTTTTATAGGAATTAGTTATAAGCTTTCTGTCAGATTTTCAGGGAATTTCACTCTTTCAGATACCAAAGACTAACTGATGATGTGGAACAAAAATTAAGTATATAACAACTATGACAACTATAACTATGAAAAAAATTGTGTTTATGCTGTTGTAGTAGGATTTTTTTCTGATGGCTGTAACTGACTTGAAATTGCTTCATGAGTGACTTGTTATTCATTCCTTTTCTGTGTGATACTTTTGCATAATTTCTGAATTGCTTTAAATGCTGGAAGAGTGAGATGGAATTTTTTTTAACTCTTCTTGCTGGGTACCTTTGATAAAATATTAATAAAGAATTTAAAAGTAGCAGGTGCAATATAAAATACAGATGCTTTAATCCATTTTTGGTATAGATATATATTTATATAATGAGTGAATTTCTTATGACAGAATCTCTTTCAAAGAGGAATATTCATCTTAATTTAATCTTTTTAAGAATTTTCTGTTAAGATGCTTGACAATAATGTTTATTATTATTTTAACTTGTTGAAGACAGGGCTAATTAATAATACATTAGGTCAGTGGTCTCAAACTGGCATGTTAGAGACCGCATACAATTTCCCAGGAAAATTTTATGTGGCCTGCAATTACATTCTAGTTATTTATTTGTTGTAAATACAATGCCAAAATTTATGGTTGGATATTGAAAAAATAAGCTGAAACAGTAAACTTTATCCATGCTTGAGCTCTAAATCATTGAATTTGTTGCATTATTTGAAGAAACTGAAATTTAGTATACAGTGGTGAAATATTTATGTTGAGAAGCTTATTTGTCAAAAGATGAATACTCTGTTACAAATTTTTGCAATAAGAATAATTGCTTTGTTTTTAAGTACATTTATATGAGAATAATGTTTTCATAGTGGAAAATTAATAAGTCTGAGTAAAGATGTGATTAACCAATGAGTGTCTACAATCCATGATGGATATAGTTTGTAGTAATTGTGCTCCAAAGTTACAAACTTCATCAGAATCAAAATGCCGTCAACTTTCAAGTTTTAACAAGAAATAAAGAAGTGAGGCTTACCAGGGGCCAAACGTTAAAGTTGCTGAATACTGGTTGTTTGGTCCAAGGTTTGAATCCCATGAACAGGCTGGCTACATGGACGTGTTTGTGTTTTTCCCCATGTGTAATGTGTATACGAGGAAGTTTTCTGTAGAAAGTCCTCCACAAAGGCATCTCTTCCCTTTAGCAGATAGCTCTTGAGGCTTCACCTTAATCACATAACTCAGACCAAACCAAATAAGTTTTTAATTGTTTACATACAAATATATGCATTTTTTCTAAGGGAGGCATCAATACTTATTTTCATGCTTTATATTACTTTTCCTGAAATTTCCTGAGGAAATTTAGAAAATTTTCTTAAAATATGCTTATTTTTAGTTTAATAAGTAATTTAGTGGTTAATTCAACATAGTAGAGTTATTTGAAACACATACCAGTTTGAAAATTTAATATTTAGTTATCAGTAGATTGGAATTACAAAGAGAAGTTTTTTTCTTTTTCTTTTGCAATATAAATTTTAATTTTTCTTTGCTTTATTATTATTGTTTATTATATTTTGATAAATGTCTGTAAGGGATTAAGCACCTAAAGAAAATGGAAAAAAATTTAGCCGAAAAAATGTCATAATTTTAAGCAGAAAGAGAAGATGGGGAAATACAAGTTTGAGAAATTAAAAGTAAATACAGTGAAAAACATAATAGAAAAAAAATACGAATATTACTGAAATAAATTTTAAATTAAACCATGCTTGAGGCTAATTAGATTTTAAAAATAGTTTCCAAATGTATTATGTATAAACTTAACAACACACATACGTAATATCAGATAATAAAGGAGTGATTGATACCCATACATTAAAAGTATATACAGCACAATATACATATCACATTTTGTTTTTTAAAAAAAATCTGTCTCATTGGCTGCCTTCATGTATTGTATTTGGCCCACATGCAAATTTAGTTTGAGACCACTGTGTGAAATGTTTGCATGCCTGTGAAGTTTATTTGAACTGAATGTAATTAATGCAATTTCAGGTGTAAATAAGTACATGGGAAGTGTATAAAATGCATTTTTGTGTATATATGAGGCATATAGACTTGACTTGTACTTAAGTGGCTATTTCCATTAATAATAGTAACTGACAAATGTTATATACTTGATAATAATAATAGATAGCTTTATTGGATTTTTAAGAACATATTTCACAGATGTAATGTAAATAATTTTTGGATCTGATTTTTTTCATTTTTTGCCCATGTTAGTTTGAAGATGAATACTTTATCAAACTTTGTTCTTTTCTAACAACAACTATTCATCAGTATTTGGTGTTGAAAAGATTTTTTTTTTTTTAATGCAGCTATTTGGACAGCATTAGTTTGAATTTTTCTTTATACACTGGTCATTAAAATTAATGGTTAGTGACAGAAATAAAACATAATTGATACTTAATGAAAAATTAATATAAATTTGTACAAAAGTTAGCATAAATTACAATGTTTAGCTGTTGATGATTTGAAAAATATTGAAATCAAAACCACGTTTATGGAAAATGAAAAAACTAAGTCACCTCTATGGAAAATATTTTCATTTAATGTGGTGTATGGTTACTTTGGACAGATATGCATTTCTCACATTTTGATTTCATAGACTTTACCAAAGTGTTGGTCAAGTCTTATGGAATGGTATGCCACTTTTCTAAGCATCCACTTTTCAGCTCTTGAAGGGTCTGAGGAGGAATTTTGTGCTGTAAAGCATCCCACACTTCTAAGTAGGGTTCAAGTCGGATGAGTAAGGTGGACAGTCCATTCGAGTGATATCTTCTGTGTGCAAGTATTCTGACACCACCTCTGCTCAATGAGGCTGAGCATTGTTATCTAATAGCAAAGCCTCTGGGCTAACAGCACACCTAAACAGTCTAACTTGGGGTTCCAATACCTCATCCATATATCCCTGAGTGGTTACAGAACCTCCTTGAAAGATATGTAGCTCGGTGCAACCATTTGCCACGATTCCTCCCCAAACCATTAAACCGCAGTCACGGAAAGGGGATAATTCACTAGGAAGGGAAGACAAGTTGCATGTTGTTTCCTTTCTCCAGACCAAAACACTTCTAGAATCAATTTGCAGACAATATCTGGACTTTTCAGTAAACAATATTTGGGCTGAGTCACCTTGCTGCATTGAACATGCTGGCAGCACGAGTTTAAATGGGCCCATTTGGGTGCTGGAGTGAGTAGGACAAGGGAAAGTAAGTTATATGTTGCTTCCTCTCTCCAGACCAAAACACATTTAGAATCACTGTTCAGATTATATCTGGACTTCTCAGTAAACAATACTCGGGCTCAGTCGCCTTGCTGCACTGAACATGCTGACAGCACCAGTTTAAAAGGGCCTGTCTGAAAGCTGGAGTGAGTGGGACACAAACTGTTTGTTTTCTTTCATACAGTACAACCTTGTTAAGCCTTTGTGCAGTAGTAGAATGGCTAATTCAAATTCCCGTGGCAGCCTATAGTCGCATTGTGATTTCTTCGAGCCGACATTTACAGAAAACAGTCGGTTGATCTTTACAATATGGTAACTGGTAGTGGCGACATTTTGGAGGCGATAAAGGTTACTACCTGGGACTTTGGTAATAATGTGAGCAGTACTCAGTTCCGATTACGCATTATTTTGTGTGAGGGAAATGAGAGATCATGGGATATGTCATGTGATATTAATGGACGAATTACGGTTCTTGAATCAGAAAAGGGGGGAAATCGGGAAAAAATCTGGAAATTTTGTATTTGGTTTATTCTGTGTTGTGTTCGTGAATTTTTGGATCCCATGGCCGTAACTAAAGAAAAGTTTATCGGACACGTAATCAAGATTCTGAAGAAGATTAGGTAAGTTAGTATTTTTAATTATTTGAGGATATTATTTTTATGCATTGTTCTAAATGTAAGGTGGAAGTAAAGGAATTTGGTATTATTGGGAAAATTGTTATTAGCAATTATTTAGTTTAAAGTAATTAGGATTGTAAGGTAATTTTTATTAATTTAATGTATGTTCTCATTTATATTTTAAGTAGTGTTTTTGAATTTAATTATATTTTAATTAAATGATAGTTATTTTGTGAATTTTATGTTTGTAGGAATTTGGTATACGTTATCAGGTAATTTCATATATGTTCTTTTTACCGGGTTTAAAGATTGAGAAAATTGTCATGTATTTTCGTGAAATTTTTCTAATTTATGAGAAAAAAGCAGTGTACATGGATGTAGTGAAGAGTGTGCACAATGCCATTTTTGTGTAATTCTGGGATTTTTTTTAAGTAAAAATAAGTCGGCGTGTACATGGTTTATGTGTATGTGTTATTTTGAAAAACGTGTAAGGAGTATGGTATTGTGCACTTTTTCCCAATTTTTCAGTGAATATTTGTCATGATTAAGCAGTTTTGTTAGATAAAATTTCTAGCATAAGTGTAATTCGGCTAGTAGATTGTTGGAAGAAGGTGTTCAGTAGATAAAAGAAAAAGAACATGTCTTTACTTCGTGAAGACAAAATGGCGGCGGGGAAAAAAAATAGAGGGTTGCTGTAGGAGAGTTGGTCGTCAAATTTTCGCCAAAAAAACACCAAGTTACCATAATGTAAAGATCAACCAAACAGTCTTCTGATGCAGTTGTTGCTCTTGGTCACACTTGACCGTGCTATCTTAACAATTAATCCAGTGCTTAAAAAGTGCCTTCAAACACTTGATATAACACTTTGAGGGATATTAAAAATTTAGGTGGCCTCCATTCTTGTTTGGCCTTCCTTGATTCTACCAATTATTCGCCTATTTTGACCTTCGCTTAAATAATGCCTTTGAGCAATAGCTACTGAATACTGATCACTTTCAGAAACCACATTCACTTTAAACAGCATCCCAGACTACTGGAATTCCAGCATGCGTGCATTGCGCACTACATTTTCAGTTGCTGAATTTACATATTTCCGCTGCTAATGTGTGCATGGAAGTGCAACTTTGTGTTCATTTGTGTATAATTAATGTAAATAGTTACAGTGTTGCACATTGGGTGCAGCCTTAACTTTATGAGCATATTTTTTCCTATTAATTATCCTTTAATTTTGATGACCAGTACTTTTTTTTTTTTTTTTTTTTTTTTTTTTTTTTCAAAATATAATGCTAATGATTTTAGGAACATTAACATTCATCTGTGTGAACGTTGTGAAGGAAGATTTTCAATCAACATAACTACATTTCCATAAAAACTAAATATATAAATAACATAAGAACTAACTTTGTTTCATATATTTAATTTTTTAGCTTGAAAAATGGTGGGAAGATGTAGCATATCTGTCACAGCGAACCCCTTTGTTACCTTTGTGCAGTATGGCTGGCTTTACTAACATGGATGGCTTGTGGAAACCAGTACCTGGAACTCAAATCGAAAGAGCTGCTCTTTATATGTACTTTCAACTACATTTTTGGAAATTTCTTCGACAGTATGTATTATATAACCTCCATTTTTCAACTTTTGAATATGCACTGTTGATTTCTAGCAAATGTAGATATAAGCGGGTACACAAATTATATTCAAATTGATGTGCATTGAAGTAGACATGATGTAGAAAAATGAACAGAATATGAAGGTTGTCCATAAAATTATTAATGATTGATCCTTAAAAGTAATTTTGCTGTTTATAAATCTGTTTCTAATGTAAGTATTTATATGTTAAAGATATGACAATAATATAATTACTAGAATAATTTACAGATTACTAAGAATAATTTACAGATTATTTCAGTTCTTAAATTTCTGGAACTTCTACAATTTTAATAACAGATAATTATATTTATTTTCTGCTTGATATAGATTTCAGCTTGATTTGATAGAGATAATTTAACTTTTGTATATTTGGATTTATGATTGGTATAATTGGCACACATTTTAATCTAAACCACACAGTACATTTTCTTTTTGAATATTAGGAGTGTATCTTCAAATAATTTACAGAAATCATTTCAAGACAGTAGTTTTTATTTTTGTAAATGCTTTTGCATGCAAAACAGTAGTACGATCCAATGTAAAATACAAATAAAAGGAATTCAAATAGTTGTTTTAAATGTATTTCTCAATTAAATTTGTTAAACCTTAATTCTAAAGCTTAAAATGTTTATGTAACTTAATAACAATATTGTGATAGTCTTAAGAAAAAAGAGTCAGTTCACTAAAACCAATTTTCAGTATTCTTATTAATAATTTTAACAAATCTTGAGAATGCTTGTCAATCTTGCTTTTTTTGCATAATTTTGTTGCCTTTATGACTGAAAATGTGCAGCTACACCTGTATGAACATCTAAATAAGGATACAATTCTGTTTCTAAAATCGCTCAATTTAAAATATTTTTGCTGTAGCTTCATTTTCTAAAATTCAATCTTTGCCTAGTGAGTTTTAAGAATGTACAGTAAAACATATATTATCATGAAAAAAAGAAAGCAGGGAAATATATGTACACTAGAAAGCTTGCAGTCTGTGTAATATTGGTAATCTTGATAAAATCTGAGGAAAAGAAACTTGCAAGTTCTGTGTCATCTTGGATTGTCACTTGGCAATCTTTATTCAAGTATTTAGGTCACAACTGGAAACTAATTAAGAAATGCTGTTAATTATAGCTATTATTTTTTAATTTTTAAAAAGTAAAAAAAAAGTCTGATTTCAAGAGCTGATGTAGTGAAATAATTAAAGTTTGAATAAACAATTTAAAATTTTGTGGGTAAAGTGAATGAAAGTTTGTAATGGTTAATTCTGCATTTTATGTTTATGTTAATTGAGTATGTTGTTTTAGTTGCATTTAAATCCAAATTAATTATAACAAAAAGGAAACTAGTCTGCTTATATTCAAATGAAATAGGATGGATAAATTAAGATTCCTTTAAAATATGCTATAATGTGAGAAATTTTCTTTCAAAATATGCTGAACTTGAATAGAATATTCAATTTGTAATATCAGGTTGAATATGAATACAAAGCTCAAAAGAAAAATAACATGGATGTGGTTTTCAATACATTTCTAAATCTGTACTTAAGAGTTGGATTATAATACATATGTGGATTTTAAATAATTTTAATGATAAACATCTTATGAGGACGTCTCAGTAAGATTAAGACGAGAGAGGGCGGTGGAGTGGGCACTGCAAGGGTGAGTAAGAAATCACTTACTCATTAGAGGGGAAGGTTCCGAGAAGGCCTGGGATATTTTTGCTATAAATAGGCACGATGTTAGCAAATTTAACGTTTTGCTCAGTTTTGTGAACATTTTTATTTTCTTTGCTTTACGCTTGTAAAAAAAAAAAAAAAAAAAAAAAAAAAAAAAAAACTTTGTGCGGCAGGTGCGGATAATCTGGAGTCTACTGTACTCAGTGAACCTTTTTAATAGTTAATTCTTCATAGCAGTTTGTTGTTTTGCAATGAAGATATGGTTTAAAGTTTAAAATTAAACTATTTTGGATATATTAAAATAAATTTATGATATGAAAATTCTTATAATTTATGTTCCAGTATTTTTAATTGTAAATAAAAATTTTCTGCTCTTCTTATTAAAGATATATTTTTTATTCAATCTATTATAAGCAATATTTAGCACCTTCTTCATTTTAGACTAGTATGCCAAGTGTGTCTGGCTTTAAAAAATAGGAAAGAAAAAAAGCTAAACTTAAATACTGTTGATGAAAGCTATATCTAGCCTAAACAGATAAAAGAAAGTATTGAAGTGGCATTTAAAATCATTAGTATTATATCCATGTATGTTTATTCAAGTTTCTACACTTGGCTATATTGTACTCTGAAAATCACAAAAGAAAGTTTTTTGTCATCTTCATCCTGTAATTTGTTTATAAATGTTCATGAATATTTGTGTTTTTTCTCTTAAATTTGAGTTGCTACTTCTGTCACTGTTGAAGGCAATTTGTTGTTTTTTGTTTATAACTTTAACTCAGTTCAATAGTTAGAAGTTTTTGTTTTCTCGTCAAATGAACTTGCATTATTTTTAAGAGTTATTTAGTTCTCTACAAGTTCTGATTGAAACCCTGAAAGTTTAATTGAATCATTTGGCCTTTTAATAAAGGGAATCTGTAATCTTAAAATTAACTGTTGAACACATGCATGTATAAATGACCTATTAGAAATACACCAATATATGCAGTTATTTTTTCACTGAATACTGAGCAGTTTAACTTATGCCTATTATCATATGAAAGATATTTTAAAAATAGTTTCTCTTTCTTTAGAGAAAAATTGAAGCCTCACATTTCACATGATATTCCATGGTCAATGCATCAATTCCGTCGATATTTTAATACAGTTCGAATACCAGGAGAAGCCCAAGATAAACTTGAATGTTATTTCCACACTGGTAATTATACATTTTTTTTGGACTTCATATAAATTAACATGACAAATTAGAAAACATCTATTATTGGCTAATAAAAATATACTGTATGAAATAAATTGTGTATTGTGATAATATGCAATGTATAATTCATAAATGTTTATAAAATTTAAATTGAGATTTATTGAATTTGAATCATCATTGTTTTACTGACATATAAGACACATATTTATACAATTTAAATAATTCTTATTACGACTTTCTGGTAATGTAATTAATAGTTAGCTGTAATCATATATTAAATATTTGTTAATAATTTGCAGAGTCGGACTGGACCAAAAAATAGTCTTGGAGAGACAATGTACATTATAAAAGCTGCAGTCATTAAAAAAAATTGCTATATGAAAATTTATAAATAAACTTATTAGTTTTTCTTTGAGATGCTACACTATAGTCTAACATTAACATCTAATGTATAGTCTAACATTAACATCTAATGTATAGTCTAACATTAATATCTAATGTATAGTCTAACATTAGACTATAGTCTATAGTTTATAGTCTAACATCTCAAAGGAGAAGTTACTAAAATGTTTTTTAACTTAAAAGATACGTAAAAAATATATGTATTAAAAAAAGGCATACAAATATTTCACTTCTTTTCTGTGCTAACTCTTGGAATTAAATCTTTATCGATGAGTCAAATTAGAAGTCAACTCCAATGAAATATCCATTTTAAAATGTCCGTTTGTTTTTGCATTTCTTTTCTGAATGTAAAATGGTATTAACAGAAAAATATCAAAGTATTTAAAAAATGTGTTGCTGTTTGAATAAAATTGATAACAAGTATGCATATACTTTTAAAATTATGAGTATTGTACTATGAGATGTACACATGCATACAATGCATGTGTACAACAAAGAATATAAATGTACAACCTTATGCATTATCAGATGACAATACCATCACTTTGTCACAGGCAAGGTTTATTGCAAAACTGAAACAATAAACAGATCAAAGAGATTTCATTCAAAGTGTCTTTAAATACTGTATGGACAAAATATGAAATCAAGATATTCTTCTGTTATCAGGGGACTGGATCTTGAAATGGATGGATGGATGTGTTCATGTATGCATGTATATATGTAAGCACAAATGTATGTGTGTATATGTATTCACATATATGCACATATATACACACTCGCATATATTCATACATTTCTGAATTCGGTCCTCTGATAACAGAACAGTACTGAAATTAATATGTTAAATAAAAGCATCTTGTGTTAAAGCAAGTTTTACACATTTCATACTCAATTGTTTCATTTCCTGTTTCAATATTCTGTCCGCGCTCAGATGATGACTCTGAAGGGAAAGTGACCAGTTTAACTCTGATACTATATTTCTACTTTTAATTTATTTTTATTGCTATTATTTATTAATTTGGTAGTTTTTTAATGATTAGGAAAAATGATTTTGCAATTCTACTAAAAAACTACATGCAGAAAATATTTGGGATTGCATAATTGTTTTCATAGGGTATTAAATCATAAAAATTCTCTACCTCTTTCATATAATGGAATTCAGTATTTTTTAACTATTTTGAAAAAGGAAGAACGATACTCATAGAATATACTTTTAAATATTTTTTATTAAACCATTATTGTAACTGATGGTAGAAATTTAGTAATGCTGTATTTTATCTGTGTTCTATGGTGAATGAAAACGTCTACATAAAGACAGTTTCTTAATGTTATTGATTTTCATTTGGCTTTTTATTGAGTTTGTTATTGTTATTATTATGCTTTATTTTTTCCACTTTTTACAGAAAAGTTGTTCATTTTGCTTTAAGTAGAAATCTCTCTCTCTCTCTTTTTTTTTTTTTTTTCAAATTAAAAAGTTATGGCTTCCATCCAATGATTTTGGTCAAAATTGGGATGAGGCCCTGATATGTTTTGTATAAATTAAATTATTCATATATTCTCTGTAGACACTTGTGAAGAATGACACAAGTTTTATTGTTTTTATTCTTTCATTGTATTATTTTATGCACTTGTAATAAAACATCTTTTCTATGTGCAGATTCATGTGAAATGTTTTTTTCATATTTCTTTAGATGTGTGATAGTAACAATGGAAAAATGCTTTCTGATTATCGGCTCCTCTTGAAAACGCCACCAACCCATTCAAAAAATTTTTGAATTAGCAAGAAAAATTTCTTTATGGCTCATAAGCAACTGTTCTATTCATAAATAATTATAAAAATAATTTTATCAGAAAAGCAAAATTCTAATAGTGAATATTTTACATTTTTATGGCCAGTGGTTTCTGTTTAGTGAAATGACTGCTAAATCTAAAGCATGTAAATTTGCATGCACTCGAACATGTGCATGGTACCTGCATGCATAGACTATTTATTGTCGTGAATGTGCTTGAAAATACAGCAGAAACGGACAGTTCTACCAAAAATTAAAACTAGGGCGTGCAGATAATCAGAAAGTTTCAAAATAATATGTACTTCTTTTTTTAAATAACATTTTATATTATGGCAGATGGATTTTTTTCAAATTGATTTATTAACAGAGGTTTTTATAGTATAGTTTCATTCTATTGCTGTTGGAAAATATGAATTTATTAGTTCATTTAATGAATATTTATTTAAGTTAATAATTAATGTATCTTTCTTTTGTAAAAGAAATGGAAGAACCAGCTAGTCCAACACATGTTGTAATCCTACATGGTGGTCATATTTTCTCATTTGATGCTGTTGATGAATATGGAGATATTTTGACACCACCAGAATTTCAGCTGCAGTTCAAAAGGATCAAGGACTGGTGTGAAGAAAATGGTCCTGGATCTTCTGTTGGTGCTTTAACTTTAGATGACAGAACTACCTGGGCAAAGGTAGGATGTACGTTTATTTGAAAATGTTTATGAAATAAAACCGTTTTTAGTGAAAAGGCCAATTATAAAAGTTTATTTAAAAATCTAATTTTACTATAAATTAAACATACTGACATTTTGCAGTTTAAAATTTGGCTTTCTAAGTGTTTATTAACTGTGGAATTTCTTTCCATTTGCTTACTAAAACTGGATGCATATGACATTTTTATTATATTGGATCTGTTTAGTTTTTATGTTGTAAAGATGCAAAAGTTTATCACTGTGGTTTTTAGTCCTTTTCCTAGACATTAGAACCTACCATTGTCCAAGTGGATTGGATTTCTGAAGTAGGTAGTTTGTCCCCAATATGATTATTTCAAATCTAAAGGATTGGATATGTGGAAGTTTCATGATTTAAATATTGGTTGGTTTCTCTTGTAAAGCTGTCAAAAAAAGCATATTGTCTTAGACAGATAAATGCCAGTTGCTTTGTTATACTATATAATCTGACTTACCCATAGCCTGAGCATTACTTATAATTGTTAACTTTTTCTTCACACTTCTTATTTTAAAAATGTGTTCCATTTGTGTCTAGTTTTTAACGATCTCACATCTTAACAACTAATCTTTAAACTTAACAAAAGTAATTTTCAATCATAACAATCTCAAAATATCGGGTTCTAATGAAAGTTTCCCACCACTGCAAATATTGTCTGTGCAAACAGATTGCGTTGTTGTGTTCAGTCATATTTTGTGAAACACCTTTTGGCACTTGAAAGAAAGAGACTTGCTTTAAAACGCTTTGTTGTGAAATTTGTAAAAAAAAATATTTATCATCAAGTACAAGATGTCTGAAATGGAACTATCACACTTCCAGATAGAATCATCATTTACTTCCACTTCTGTTGCAAAAAGTCACCTAGAGAATGTCACGAAATCATGTGTACAGCTTTAGGTACTAATGTTCTCTATCATATGACACTGTGATGGTTTGGAACCCAAAAAAATAAATCTACTAATTGATAAATGTCTAGCTGATATAGAACCATTAATAATTAAGTTTTGCAACTGCTTTTTGTTATTTAATTACTGTATTTGACAGCATATAAGACACACCCTTATTTAGAAGGTCACACACAAGGAAAAGAAGTTTCATTAGCCACAATAACTTAAAATGTGGTTTCTTTTAGTTCTCACATATCGTAAAAGCCAAATAAACAATCATTTAATGCAAGTACCAAACATATTTTTATTAAGGAAAATTAACATATGGCAAGCTATTTTGAACATGATATGTAAATTTCAATAATGAATAAATGAATGAACGGGAAGCAATCAAACATAATGCAAAATAAAGCATAAACAACAAAAAACACAGATTCAAGGAAAATGTTGCCTATCATGAAAGTAGACTTTAATCACTTTCAAAACCATAAAAATCCTTTTCACTATCATCATCATAGAAAATGAGAATATCGTCATCACTACTGTTTCCGTCATCGCTAGTATCACCTTCTTCGAATAATGCATAGTCTTCTGTTCCATCAAGAGCATTACTGATTCCACACTTCTTAAAGGACTTAACAATTACTTCAGCCTTTATGTCCTCCCAAGATCTTTTTACCCACTTGCACACTTGTGAAATAGAGGGCCGCTTCATTCTACCTGAGGATGTGAGGGCGTGATGTGGCTCTCCTATCCACTTGTTCCTCGTTCTCACACATTTTTCCTTAAATGGCTTATACACCAATACATCTAAAGGCTGCAATTGGCTAGCCAATCCACCAGGAATGACAGCTATCTGGGTTTTTAATTCTTTCGCTTTATTCTTTATGGTTTCAGTTCTATGAGTACTAAACTGATCCAAAACCAAAAGAGAGGGTTTTCTTAAGAGTCCACCAGGTCGCCTCGCCCATACATTCTGTAACCACAGTTTCATTCCAGCTTCGTCCATCCAGCCTTTTGGATGAACATGAACAATTACACCCATTGGAAGTTTTTCTTTTAAATATGAAAAACAGCGGTAGTTTTGTGCCATCAGCACAACATGTTAGAACCATATATCGGGTTTTTTCATGACCTGTGGTTTTTATGGTTATTGATTTAAACCCTTTAATACTCAGTCTTGTTGGATGGTACACCAAATGTGAGTGGAATTTCATCCATATTTCGTATTTGACCAAGCTCAAAGTTTTCTTGCGTGCATCTATAACCAACCTATGAAATGCTAGTATTTTTTTCATAATCTGATGGCATTTTCTGTGCAATAGTTGTTTTTGTGCACACTGATAAGCCTTGCTTTTTTATGAACCTGTAGCACCAGCCCTCAGACTCTGAAAAGTTCTGATTCCCATGTTTTTCTGCAAATCCTTTGACCTCATTGATTACCATTTTCGTTGAAACACTTATCCCAGATTTCCTCTTATCTATCACCCACATTTTTATGGCATTTTCAAGTTCAGGCCAAGATGGAGCTGGGCATCGAAGGTTATGTTTATGTTTTTTAGCAGTCTTCAGTTGATCTTCCTGCATTCGCCAAGTGCATATCATTTTTTCGGTAGGTGGTGGACTGAAATGCTTTGCTGCTGCTCTGTTTCCATGGACTTTGGCGTAGTTTAACACTTCTAGTTTATACTGAATTGTATAGCTTAATCTCTTGTTTCCTGTAGTCATATTTTCCAGGGTATTTGTTTTAAATAGTAAACCGATACTGACACATTTATACAGAGTAGCACCGATACCGACACGTGTCAAAGAAAGACAAGTTGACTGAGTCAAAGAAAGTCTATGTAAAGAAGGAAAGGCTTCATAGATGTAATGTGACCATCGAACCTGTTCAAACTTCGACATCAGCTTCGAGCTTTGGTGCTTTTTGGCGACAGATATTTCACGCATGCGAGAAAATAATTATGGCAGATGTAGAAAAAGTTATGTGTGTCTAGATCTTTATCCGGGCTAAAAATAGCATTCAGTATTGAAAGTTAACCTGTGTCCTTCACGTATAAGATGCAGGTAACTTTTTTGAGACAAATTTAGGAAAAAAAGTGCATCTTATATGCCGTCAAATATGGTAATAGATGTATCGTTTGATGTTATGGATTAAATATACACTAATTTTTTTTTAATGTCAGTTGATGATGTCATTTTCTGTTTGTCAGTTGATATGCAAATGTATTTTGCCTGGAATAATTTAATATTAGTCACTCTGAACTGTAAAGAAAATTATAAGATGTTTAGAGGGGACATATAGGAGCAGACATTGTAAATTTCAACTTAAATGCAAGATTATCTGAAAAGCATGCAATAGCTGCTTATCCTGGAAGGACTGGGAAGATGACTTTAATTCGTAAATTGTTTTAAAATATCTCGGTATTTTCCATGTCAAGTTGTGAAAATGTTTAGCTTATGAAAGCAGTAAATATCTTGGAATTTTTCCCTTACTGAGAAGTATATAAAAATTATATTTTATTTTAGCATATTTTCTTCATAAATCGTATTTTTTATAAACTTTGCAGTTTACTTTTAGAAATTATGCAACTGAAAAGATTTATCTAGAATCTATATACTTAAAGAAACAAATCTCATACTCACTTTTTGAACACCTTATAAGATGTCATCCGTAATTGCCATAGCAAACATGACTGATGTTTGCTACGGCAATTTTTCCTTTCAGAGAATAGAACTCACAAAATATTTATTGGGATAAAAACCTGTTAATAGTGTTTGGTATATTTTGAAAGGGGAAACATAATATTCTTATATTCTAGAATCGAGAATGGCTGTTACAGATACACCCAGAAAATGAATTGCACATGGAAACCATAAACACTGCACTTTCTGTCATTGTCTTGGATGATGCTGAACCAACAGACTTAACAAGGGTAAGTTGTATTTAGTACCTTAAATTTAGTTACATTTTATATGAAGTTAATAACTGCTTTAAGTCACAAGGAGCAGTGTGTAATGATCTTAAACAACAGTCCTGACATAGGTATTTTGTAGGAAATGTTCAGTTAATTGAACATACTCGGTAAAATTTCTATTGTTGGAAATATTTTTCAGATGAAGACTAAAATTTTTGTCTCTGTTACTGTAATAAGTTAAAATAAAAATCTAAGAAGATATTTAAATGAAGAGTGTGAAAATTCAAAATTTTAAATTCACATTATTTATTTATACTTTAGAAATGATATTTCATTCTAAATATTTAGTCTATTAGGTTATTTAAAGCAGGAAACAAAAATTCAACTATGCCTGTGCTGGCGTTCAAACTTTGGACCTTCCAATTGTTGGCTGGATATGTTTCTATTATATCACCAAGGCATACAGGAAGGAAGGTGAAAATGTTTTACATTTTCTCCCACTTAAAGGGTGATTGGCAGGGATAGGGATCCTGTCACCAAATTGAAGTGGTATTAAATTACTGTCTACTAAATTTTAATAGGTATCACTATATAATCTATGAGTATTTGTCAAAAATTGGAAATGTGAGAAATACTGTTGCCATTATTTGAGCATTGAACCTTCCAACTGCTTCCAGTTACACCATAAAGACATGCTGTAAGAAGGGAAAAATTCTTTATAAATAGACATAACTTTCTTGAGAACAGGCATAAAATATGTTTTAATTGATAAGTATGTGACTTTGACAAGCAATCGTTCTCTAATTATCAAATGGTATATTCATTTTCAATCCATTATCTGTGGTAATGCAATAAAGAAAAAAAATCAAATTAGATGCAGCACATTAAAATTTACAATTTTGACATGACTTAAATGTCTTCTAATATTTGAATTTAAAATTTTTTATTTAAGTAATTGCATAAATCAAGTACATGAAGTATTTAATTTCTTTGTGTATTTATATTAAAAATAATTTATATTAAACTGTTGATATATTTAATAGATTGTAAGAGAAACATTAGCTGGAGATGGATGCAATCGTTGGGCAGATAAATCTGTTACAAATTTGATCTTTAACAATGGTGTCTTTGGTTTGATTTCAGATGTAAGTATGCCAGTTTTCTTTGGTTAATGGAAAAAATAGCTATTCTGTAACTGTTATTTTAAACTTAACCTGTTGTAAATATAGTCAAATCATACCTTGATAAGAGTATATATTTCATGCATTTGTCATCTCATAAACATGGAGTCATGCAATAATGTCTTCTTCTTCTTCTTCTTTTTTTTTTTTTTTTTTTTTTTTTTTTTTTTTTTTTTTATTAGCCAAGATTTTTGATGGGGTTAGGTTCCTTGAGTTGCAGCGTTTTTTTTAAAATATCAACGAGGAATTTGGTAGGTTTTTGTAATTTTTTTTTTTTTTACTAGCATACACCTTTTGATGGTTTAGTTCCTGTAGTTGCAGGTCATTTTACTTACTTATCACTACGAGAATCTGGTGGTGTTTGGAAGGTATCATCATTTTAACCTTTTTTGAGGTTTCATGTACTAAATTTCTAGACTTTGCAAATGACTAGTTAATGTAAAATCTTAAATATTTATTCTCTGTAATAAATATACTATTTCTAAAAAATAAGTAATTAACAAATTGTGAATAATTTAAAATTTATTGGATTTGTGGAAAATTTACAAAATGAATTTTTATGGAAGGCTCACCAAGAGTCTAAAAAAGTATAGCAAGTAAATGAAAATATTTCACAAGTATATTAATTTCTGTCTTAGATGTTCATGGGCCCAATTAAACTAACTGTGGCATGCGATGTTGACAAAATGATGCACATATTAGAATTTTTTTTTTACCAGCAGTTTATTTTTATGATTTTTAAACATCATGCAAAACAATTTATCAAAATTTCAGGCCTCTGCATTTTGTAAGATGTTCAAAATTAACTGTTAGCATTCTTAGTGTATCTTGTATTTTAGCTCAGAAAATTTAAATAATCCTATGCAACCAGATTCAGGTCTTCTAGAGACAGTCTATGTTCCTACAATAGATATTATTCTGTCTTGTATCAACTTTCTACTAGCTTTCCAATGCAGCTCATCGTTTATATGATTCCCTTTTATTTAAGATTTTGAATTTACCTAGATCCCATTTGTTGAAACATTTACAGATTGCAAGTTGAAGTGTAGATAACTTTCCTGTATTTTCTCATTATTGCTTTTGCACTTACGTAATAAAACTGACCTTTTTCTTAGGGGAAAAAATAGTAAAATATCATACAGGAATGCAATGGCTGTTAAGGATCAAAACATCAAGGCATATAACATTTTAAGAAACATTAAAACATTTTAAATTAAAAAATTCATGCTATTTGAAACTCCAGACTATCCATTTTAATTATAAAAGAACATAGCAATAGTATGTTTATTTTGTAATAATCAACATGAAATTTTGAATAGCATCATCAGTCTTTAAGCATTTCTTTGAAAAATATGTTTTAATTTTTCTATAGGAACAAATTTTTGCATATAATTTATGGGTTGAAATGCACAAAATTAGTAAACTGATAATCACTAGAATGCTTAAATTATGAAAGATTGTAATCAGTGAAATTTAAAATTGTTACCTTATTAATTTGCAATAACAGATGATTGTCTAATATATCTTCTAATGTTCCCATATCATTTAGGGACCACAGGCAGTTGAAAGAGATTTGCTACCACCGAGAAGACTTGCTTTTCATCTAGATGGCCATATAAGAAGTGCCATAGAAGAATCTAAAAGATTGTATCAACTTATGGTAATTTTTTTCAGTAATTAATTTTTAAGTATGTAATTAGCATCCTTAAATTGTAATTTACTTTTGAGCTTCTAATTTGCATATATATATAAGTATATATGAATATAATAATTATTCAGTGTATTAATTGAAGAAATGAAATGTAATATTTGAATTTTCATAAAATGTTAATTCAAGAATGGAGGAAAAGTGACATTTTAATGTATGCAGCATACTTGTTAATAACATACTTATTTTTATAATTGAAACATATGTCTATGCAAATAAATTTTGTTAAATTTTATAAGCAAATTTTCATTTGTAAAGGAATTTTTTTTTCTTAATTCCGTTTCTTTATATCTTCAGTTGCAAAATATTTGTTGTATTTACATTGTGAAATCGGAGAATAAAAGTTGGATTGCTTCTATTGCTCATGTGCTGTTTCATGTTGATCAAAATGTATATTATGAGTGTAACATACATGTAAACTACTAATTGATGTAATAAAGGATAACTTTTATCTTCTATTTATATTTATGTTTTGTAGTAGTTACATTATTACTCTATTATTGAAAATTACTCCTAACCTTATTTATAAATCTTATCTAAACCTTGCAAAATTTTTTTTAACTCGTATTAAAATGCTTTAAATAAAAATATTATCCTTTTCTTCTATTATTACATTTCATTATTATGTGCACTTTGAGGGGAGTATTTATGAGGTATTAAAGCTATCTTATATTGCTAGTGTTGGTACCTGTACTTCTTTTTATGAACTAAAGGAAGTATTGTAATCTTGAAAATTTTCAGGTATCATATTCCAACAGATAAATCCATTTTGACCACTCTCAAATTTTAAATGAATTTGCATGCTAATGTACCAGGGATGGCCAAACTTCAAGGCAATGGGAGCCGCAAGATAGGTTTTATGAATGTCCGAGAACTGCAAGCCCAAATTTATATAATTTCAAAAATAATGATACAGGTTTTGAATATAAAGAAATTTTTGAATTAAATTAATTAATATGTTATTAATATGATAACATATAAATATGATAAACCTCTATAGCACTGTTTGTGTTTCGACAGTAAATCCCATGAAACAAAATTGTAACTTGTCTAGGGCAACTGTGCATTTTGCTTAGTAGCAAACCACATTTAAGATTGCAAAACGGCGAGTATAAGACAAAATATCAACAGATTAAAAGGAGTGTAATGCTGGCATCAGAGCTGGGGCAACCACTGCAGCTGCAGTACTAAGGGGTGAAAATTTTTAGATATGCCAGGCAGCAAAATGCCTCTAATCTAGCGCAATAGTTACTAGCGACTCTAACCTAGGGCAGCAAAATGCCTCTAACCTAGTGTGAGATAGAAAGAAAGAAGGTCATCAAACAGGAAATAAAAAAATACAAGAAAATATCACAAGCTAAAGAGATTTGACCAATATGAATGTGCCGATTTTGACAGAGTTTGGAGAAGAGAGACGTTTGTGTTCTGTTGATTCCTCATTGCTTGATGCAACATTACTGATATAAGGATTTTATGATTAAGGTGAAAGGTCTCTATCTGGAATAACAGTATTTGATAAAATGGGAACTGAACATTTTCACTAAAATTTAAATTGTTGTCAAACCAGTGATTCTTCCTACAACTCCAGATGTTTCATCATGCACAAACTTTGGTAAAATAAATTATCTCTAAAGTTAGGATTACCAAGGAATTATTACGAAAGATAATTTTGTGCTGAAAAAGTATTAAGCATACTATTATGAATGATTGCAAAACTTGTGAAGGAATTGCATAAAAATGCCTGACTTGTTTAGGAATAGGAAATTAATTTTGAAGGAATTCTGCAGAAAACTGAGACGAGTCTCCTAACCATGTAAGGAGCTGAAGGTTCACTCCACCAAAAATAAATTTCTTGTAAGATTCTTCCACAGGTTAAAAGAGCTCTATATGGATTGCAAGGTAAAACAAGTTTCTTCAGCAGTTACTCACACCATTCAAGGACTGAATAAAAGTAGTACCCTAGCAAATCTTTCAGCTGGATCGCAACTATTGTGAACAATGGGATCACATAGGAATGTAAGCAGATACTGCCTGAAGTAAAATTGAAAGAATAAATATTAGGGAGAATAATTAAATAAAAACATTAGCATTGCATTTTACATTAACTTTGTATTAGTGTATTTCGATGATCATTACCTTTTCTAGAAATAACATAACCAGAATAGCAATTACCAGACATGGAATTATTTGTAATTTTATGTATTTGTTGCTCTGACGATAAGACAGCAGTGGACAGTTTGAAATCTATAAAATTTTTACATACATAATATCAGAAATTAAATTAGCTATTAAAAGAAATGGGGCACTGCATGATTTCTATTTCAAATTCCATTTGCATTAAAAAATTAAATTGTAGGTATTCAAAAAAAGTGCCACAGTTTGGCCATGTCTGCTATATATGCATGGACAGAATAAAGGCCTCTTTTTTCCAAAAAGAATTTTAGAATGGTTCGGAAGAGATTTTACATTACATCTGTACATATGCATCTCGAATAACTCAAAAACAAGTAGCTGCAGAACACTGAATTTTTATGGGACGCAAAACATGTAGTTGGCACTCTCTTTTGGTTGCCTGGTCCCACAACATATATAAGTATATATATATACATATTTAAACATATATAAATATATGTTTATATATAAGATCATATTATATATTTTTTAGTTTGTATGTTTATATAAATATAACCAGAGCCAGGAAACAAGAGTGAGTGTTTATACACACACAAAACATATGTATATACATACACACACACAGTCTGTTACCTGGCTCAGTGAGCTCATTTTTTTTCTTATATGCTGGTAAATAGTATTGCTGTTAAAGTGGTTGAATTATGTTGTTCTTATGTTTCAGTTAAGGTTTTTATGCTTTTAATTAATCTGTATGCAGTAGTTTTAGAATTATCAGCAATTAAAAAAAAAAAAAAGAAGAGAGAGAGAGAATTGTCATTTGGTGCACCAACTTCAGTGTCTTTTCCCCCAGTGGGATCCATGTTAACTTTCAGTTTTGTACACCAAAAATTTTGTCTTCATACCCACTGGCAGAATTGCTTGTTTTTGCATAGAAATTTAATAGTAAAAAAAATTTTTTTTAATTGCATTTGATGTTTTCTGTATTTTAAAGTATTTATGTACTTTTGCCTTGCCAGGAAGTGAGTATTCAATTAATTGAATGAGAAATACATCTGTAATCAAATTCAAGGAAATAAGTTTAAATGAAATGTGTATAACTTAATATAAAAAATCTGTATAATTTAATAGGGTCTTACAAGGAAGTCGTGGTGTTCACATCAAATATTTAATTATTGGCATAAGAGACTGAAATTATTTTAATTTAAACAATCATACAGATGTGTAAAATACTTATTCTTTATCTAAGTTACATTAAACTGAATATATATTTATGAATTGCTAAGAATACAGTGTATGACTAGCATGTTATGCAGCTCTTCTTATTATCATGTTGATTTTCCTGTAGCATAATTTTTTTTTGTATAACATGCATGAATGTACAATTCTTTCTCTGTTATCCATATTCTAAGTTTTTCATTGCCAGTGAACATCCGTGGTTTTGCAAGTATTGGATTTTTGTATTGCAATAGTTTATTTTTTGAGAAAATGTGAAATTTATCATATGGAAATTATTGTAACTTTTGATTTAATAACTTATTAATTTATATAAGTGCCTATGTTAGCTTGTTTGGTACTGTTCTTTTATTGGGAACAGGCACAGAAGTGTATGCGTGCATGGATTAATGTGTTCATGTATACATGTATATATGTATGTGTGTGTACACATACATACACTTCTGAATCCAGCTCTGATAACAGAAAAGTACTGCTAGTTCTTTAAATTAAAATGTTTTACTTTTAATTTATAGGTTGAAGATACTGATGTTGTATGTGAGTGCTTCACTCAATATGGCAAATCTTTTTTAAAAACATATAATTTCCATCCTGAAACTTGTGCTCAATTTGCTTTGCACTTGGCATATTATACAATGCATGGCAGGTAAGCTTGCATGTTTTAAATTATGATAAAGCTAAATATTTTTTGCTGTGTTATCTGTTCCTATTGTGAGATTCTGATATTAATAGAAACCAGATTTAATTTTCTTATCTTATAACTAAAATATTGGGGAAAACTGCGTATTGTGAAAATTTTTAGAATTTAACTATTAATAACTATTTATAGAATAGTTATTTACAATGCATATCATTATATGTTGAAAATATGAAGTGTAAAGGTTTCTCTTAATAGAAATTAATGCTAGTTATGTTGTGGGAATGTGATGTATGAGCAAATGAGTGTGCACGGTTATGTCTGAGATAGCTCTTAAATCTCTTCTGTAAGTCTTTTTTTTTTTTTTACATACACTATTACAGTAATAATGACAGTATGCAAATGTTTTGTATGTTACATTTTATAAGAAATTCCCTTTAATTTTTAAATATGAAAGCAATGAAGTTATGCACAACATCTAGTGTTTAATTTTAGTGTTTAACTATTAGTTATTACTGTATTCAAATTACTTTAAAATACTGTAAAAGTAGATTATTGATTTACTGATTATGATAGTACTGGAAACCCATGAGTTACATACAACAGGACTAAATTTAGGAAGACTCTCTTAAGTTCCCAATTAAAGATAATTTATGATCAAATAAATAGACTGGTATCTCCAGTGTGTCTAGACAAATATGCATGGTGTTAAAGGTTTACTGGTGCAGTATCTTTATGTTGGCATGTCTTTTGTCTATTTCTACTATTTGAATTTTGTAAGTCATTATTTATATATGATCTTGCCTTCAAAGCAAATCGAATTCTAATTCTCCAGCACCTACTCCATGCTAATCACCATCATTGCCATTATTCATCTTCAGGTTAATATTAGCTTATCTCATTTTAAAAATGTCCCTTTCAGTAAGATGCCAAGGTTGGCATTAAATTATTTTTAATTACTTCTGTTTCCTATTTAAATGTTTAATATGATTTTTTATGCTATGTTTATTCGAATTAAAGCAATCAGCACAATAGTTTTTTCAATTTATTACTGTTACAATATATTATTATTTACACATATCAGCTATTTTATAGTATAAATTTTACTCTCATTCTTGTGGAATTCCTATTTAAATTCGACTATCTGTTTACATGAGCTTTCAAAAACTAATATTTCCTTTATAAGCTTATTTTAAAGCAAAATTTACGTTAATCAATGATAGTTATTAATCTTAAACAAGTTATTGTTTTAATAACTGATTTGTTGAGAAGGTGAGTCTAAATTGACAGCTTCACAACATTTTTTCAATAACTATATTAGAAAATTTTAAACTTAATATTTTATAGAATTTTTTAAATATGAATGAAATTTGTTATAATTTTTCAATATTATATTTACAATTTTCTCTAGAAAGATAAATGCATCAAATTGATACTTCCAGCAAGAAAACTTATTTTTCTCATTAATTCTTTTTAACTGTGACAAAAAAAGCTTATATTTCTCATTATTTCTTTTTAACTGTGGCAAAATTTTACCACACTAATTCAAGAAGCATATCTCTTTGGTTAGTTATTTCAGTAAAAAGAATAAAATGGAATGAAGATGTGAAAAATTTTTATTGATGGTGCTTACTTTGAAACCAAAACATTGTTAAATGAACAACACATTTAATTTAGTGGTGGCCAGTATTCTACATTGGTGCATATTTCTGAAGAAAATTGCTTGGTTATGTTGCGTTATAATGGAGATCCAACAATTTTCTTGAAAATAAAGGATGTAAACTAAGGTAACAATTTGTCTGCTACACTCTTGGGCCTTTTATTGTAAAAATGCAAAGTGTGTGTTATTACAAATAAAACTCTCAAACTAAGTAGTCTGTTAGTATTAAAGTTTTGGTAGAGTGGAGGGTAATTTGCAGCTTGTTATGAATATTGTTTCAAAGTTCATTGTAGTTTTTGAATGACATAAAAGTTAAATATTTATAGTATTAGCTATTTACCTGAGTTTGCATTACTTCTTATAAGTTATAATGAATATATTGAGTTATGCAGAATTATTTTTAATAAAATGTATGTCCAATGCCATGATAAGTTTTTCATAAATATGTTCAGTATAACTTATATTCTTCCATTTGGAAAAAAGTTATCTTCTAAGAATATTAAAACTACATATAATTCAGTTTCTGTGGTTAATTTTGCCTATATATTTCAAAAAATTTAACCATTTGTGCTGTTAGCTGCCTAACATAGTTATCATAAAATATATACAGTCAAAAGTTGTTAATTCGGACACCCATAATCCGGACCTCAAAGCTAAAAACTTTCTGCGCATGCGCCGCGTTGGCACATGCGCACAGGCGTTTTACGCGTGCGCGTAAGACCTTGACTACTGCGCATATGCGTGTGCGCAAGTGCAGAATACGTTTTCGCTTGCGCGTTTAATGTATAACGGACGGTGTAAGCTAAAATTATCTATTTCAGTTAATGTTAATGATTGCGTTATCCTTAATCTTCGAATTGGATCCCGCTTATTTTTTTTTTCAGACTGTAAGAGCAATTTTATAAAAGTACTTGAACTTTCGATTATGTCAAATAGAATTTCCGATGCTGGAACTTAAAGGATCTACAAAACGAAATATGTTTTGATGTCCAACAAACAAAAGTGGAATTGCTGCAAAAATGATAAAGGCATGAAGAATGTGACAGAGAGGTTAGTGAAAATGAAAAAGTTCGATTGACAGTTAGTCGTATTCTCGGCACAGCAATAACGGACTGAACAGCGGGACTTGTAACTGAACAAGAAATTATATCTGTTATAGATTAAAGAGAAAGTATTATCACATAAAATGAAGCAACTTAAAAAACTTACATTGAAAGAAATGTTTATAAAGTAACAAATAATATTAAGCTTTTTTTTTTTTGTAATTTTGATACCCTTTAGATCATAATTGTTCTTTATTTCATAAATTACGGTTTCATATTTTTAATTTTAGAATTTCTGCCTGCCATCTTACGAGATTTAAACTGATGATCTATAATCCAGAAAAATCGATAATCCGGAATCGGCGAAGTCCCGACGAGTCCGGATTAACGACTTTTGACTGTATAATGATTTTAATTAATCCATCTACTGTAATTTCATAAAAACATTTAATATTTCTAATTAATCATTTCACAATTTAAGTGCATTTTTATTTAAATGAATCAGGAAGGAAGTAGAAAAAATGTTTTTGAGAATAGCTTTTATTGCTTTTCGATCCCTTGGTTTGCTACTCAGAAACAGATTATATTTGAAAGCTAAATATTTTATGCTTTACTGAATGGCAACATGTACTTGTGTATGGAAGATAAAACTATTTATTAAATTCATACAAAACCTGAAATAAATCAAAAACAAAGATCTGGCTTCAAGGTGAACATTTTTGGATGGATGACTACATGTGTTCAAATCTTGGCAGCTCTATGAGTTGCCATTTTTCTTCTAAGCAAGGAATATACTGATTTGTCATTATTAGAGATTTATAGAATGATTACAGTTAAAAGTTTTGTTCTTTCAAGTAAAAATTCAGGCATTGATGAAATGAAACTGTAACCTGACACGTTTAGCGATAAATTTCTAAATATATAATTCTTCTTTTTGGTATTTTCTGATAATCTGCATACCCCTCAAAAAGTAACCTTTCACCAAGCTAAATGCCATTATAGAATGACTATAGTAAAAAGTTTGTTAAGTTTTGTTCTTTCAGGTAAAAATTGAGGCATTGATGAAATGAAACTGTAACCTGACACATTTAGTGATAAATTTCTAAATATAATTCTTCGTTTTGGTATTTTCTGATAATCTGCATACCCCTGAAAAAGTAACCTTTTACCAAGCTAAATGCCAAAGATAACAGCCATTTTCATAAATAGCAGTGCACTAAGAGTTATGTAAAATTGAAACCAATTAACAAAATTAAAAGCCTTTGCAATTAGACACTTGCCTTTTTTCACTGATCACAGTATTCTGTGATCTGTTTTAGCTTCATGAAAACTTCGAAGAAGTGCAGAAACCCAGCGTCACATACTACTACAGTGGAAAAGATAACAGCCATTTTCACATTTTTTTAACTATAGTTTGGCTACAATGCAAAAGAGAATGACTATTTCCACAAATGTAGTGCACTAAGAACTACAATGCAAATTTTAAGATTTAACTTCAGTGCGAAATATCACAAATGGCAGTGCACTAAGAATTATGCAAAATTGCAACCAATTAACAAAATTAAGAACCTCTAATAAAACGCTTACCTGTTTTTTTCACTATTTTCCAGATGTGTCCAGTGATCTGTTTTAACTTCAAAAACATCAAAGAATTGCAGAAACCCAGCATTGCACAATACTTGGTTACCCACCTCCCTATACACAACAATCTCTTTTCACTTAAAAAAATAAGTTCTTAAATTAACAAAATTAAAAACCTCTAATAAAGCGCTTACTTTTTTTTTTTCTGAATGTATCCAGTGATCTGTTTTAACTTTAAAAATATCAAAGAATTGCTGAAACCCAGCATTGCACAATACTTGGTTATCCCCCCCTCCATACACAGCAACTTTTCACTTAAAAACCGTCAAGGAATTGCACAAGTTTGGCATTTTGCAAGCTGTTGTTTTCCTGTGTGCACAGCCGTCTGTTTATGCTTTAAAAATTCTGAGAATTGGACAAATTTGTTATCAGTTTGCAGGAATTCTGAGCCATAGAATTTTATCATTTACGAAGTACAGCTTTATAGAATGTAAATTTTAACATTCTCTACTGTTAGGCGAAGTATCATATTTCTAAGTTTCTTCTTCATCAACCAGCAAACTCCAGTCCCAATACAATTTGCTTACAAAGAAAAAGGCACTCAATACAGTAAAAACAAACATCCATCAGGTTTGAAATTCAAAATTGTCTGTGCGCACCCATACCTAGGTTCGCACTATAAATACATTTAGGTAATGTTATGGATTGCCTATTTTGGTGGCATATTGCATTGTCTCTTAAACACATTTGGAGGGGGGGCAGATAATCAAAAAGCATGTTCTTTTCAATTTGAAAGATGCTGAAGAAATATACAGATTGAATAATAATGTGCACTAGGAACCTTTCTATAATAATAATCAAACTAGCTTGTATGAACTGCATATGAAATATATTGTAATATTAAATTCAAGTGTAGAATAATTTGCATAATATGTATAATAGACCAAAAAATGTTTTAAACTTAGAAATCTTGAATAATTTTACTTTCTCTACTACAGAAATTTTTGTGCTGCAAACTAATAGTTTATTTTATTTAATAGCTTATTGTACAATCTTATTAATATTCACTTTTCATATTTTGACTGCCTTTATGCATTTCTTTTTTGTAATTTAAGATTAGGATTTTTTAAACTTTTTAAGTTATATGAATTATGTAAAATAAATTTCTTAAATGTTAAACTGTGTATTGTGTTCAAATAGACCTGCTACTACTTACGTTACTGCAGCTACACGACAGTTCTACCATGGAAGAACTGAAACTATGAGATCATGTTATCCAGAAGTAGTGAAATGGGTTCAAGCAATGATTGATGACCAAAAATCAGTAATAATTGCCTTTTATATTTTAAAATGTGCTTTTCTTCACTTTTTTATATAAATATGCATTATGTAAGATCCTAATTTACTCATTGATCAAATTTGAGTCATTTTATAAACTAATAGCTTTCTGAAAAATAAGTTTCTAAAATGGTATTAAAATCTTTTCTGTAATTTTTAGTCAGTGTTATTTGTTGTTTGAGACTAAATGTTTTATATATTGTGTATTGATTTGCAAAATACTTTAGACTGATTTAAATTGAAAAATCTTGCAATTTAATACTTAATTATGTAACACAGTATTAGTATTATAATAGTCAATCATAATTTTTCTGGGTACTTGTGTATTATCACGTCGACCATGAAAGTTGGATAAGATCCTGGCAAAGATTGTGGTAATTATTTCCTGCTGAATTTGAATAAACTGGAACCTCTTTGTTCAATAAACAATCGGTATTCATCCCACTTTGTAAAAAGGCTTTAATCAATTTCTACTATTTTGTCCACCCTTTGATTTGAGCAGAAACTCTGTTTAAAACATAATGTGTACAAACTTCCCATGGATGATTATTTCAATCTATTACAGCTTTGTTGGCCATATGCAGATGAGCATGCCCTGTTCATGAATAGGCACTTTTTTTTTTTTTTTTTTTTTTTTTTGGTAAGATCCAATAACATCGAAAATAATCCATTTCTTATTGCTGTTTTGTAAAAATACTAAATTTTAATCTCTCTCCCCTCCCCCCCCCAAAATGTAGCAATAGGAGTCAATAGTATGTACATTTTCATAAAAACAAAAGGAAGTTTATAGAGAATCAATGGAGATTACATTAAACAAAAGCACAGATGTTATAAAGTGTGCTGTAACTTCATGTTTAGCCAGAACTGGCACTAAATTATGTTGCTTCACAATAGTTTCATGTTCAATGGAATAATTTATAAGTACTTTTTACTGTCTTCTTACTGTGCTTGGGAATGTGAATCGCATTTATCTTCATATGTTCTGATCATTTTTTAATTTATGTAATGAATTCTTTCAGGTAAATGACAAACTTCAACTGATGCAAATTGCTGCCAGGAAATTTAAATTGCTGATGAAAGATTGCACAGAAAATAGTGGTAATTCTTTTTAAATATATAAAAGTACAAAGTTAATATATAAAATATGAAATAAAACTCTGCATAATTAACTCCACTTATTCAGAAGCCGAATCAACCAAAACACTGGAAAAAAAATAATATTGAACTTGCTCCTAAATTCCTTACTTTATTGAATAATAAAAGCTCGTTGTTGTCAATTTTTTAAGCAAAATATTTTTGCATTGTTATATTCTTCAGAGATAAATATGTTTTACAATGAAAACAAGTGATTTTTGTATTATATCAAGTGAGCTGTGTAATAAATCTCTAGTTAGGAAATGACTTCAAGTATCTGCCAATTGTTGTTTTAATTGTATTGAAAGTAGTACCTCCATATTCCTATATTCCTATTAATGTGGGAATATGAATGATTTCAATAAATTATGTAACATTTTTTTCAGTGGAAATTTTCCCATTGTTTGAAAAAAAAATTGGACCTGTTCAATTATTTTTGTTTATCAGTTTAAATGGACTGTATGCTTTGGATAAAAAAAAAAAAAAAAAAAAAATCTGTGAATGCCTGTTTCATTAAAAAAATCTTCAACACTAATTCCAAATTATTAGCTTTTCTCAGTCAAAAATCATCGTTTTCATTTCATTACATATGTATGAAGGGGGATATACACTGTTGAGCTAAGACATTATGACCTTCCCGACATTTTTCTATGAACTCATTTGGATGATGTGGAGGGCACGTGTTTAAGTGGGGATGATACTTAACTGCTGAAGAAAGTTGGGAATCATTCATTCTTTTGTTAGTGATTGGAAAGGCTTCTGATCTAAGCAAATTTGATAGAGGGCTGTAATGGCCTGGAGACTCAGAATGCGTATCTCCAAATCTGAACAATCTGAACAACAGGTTGTTCATGATTTGCCATTGTCAGTGTTTATGCAAAGTGGATAAATGATGATGAAAACAGCAGTAGATGGCAAGGTTTTGGACATCTATGCGTCATCAAAGAAAAAAAGGCATCGGAGACTGTCCTACTTGGTACAGATAATTGGTGCCAGATAGTGGCTTAGCTGACAGCCCAATACAGGGTAGGTGTATTGGAATACACAGTTCAGCGGACATTGTTGGATGGGACTGTGCAGTAAATGTTCCACTCATGTGCCTCTGTTGAATAAGCATCATTGTTAACTATGCATACATAGGGCTCGGGAACATTCAGACTGGACCATGGATAAGTGGAAGACATTTGCCTGGTCGGGTGATTAGGATAAGTGGAAGTGGATAAGTGGAAGACATTTGCCTGGTCGGTGACATTTGCCTGGTAGGTCATAACAGGTTGGTGGTGGAATTAAGCTTTGGAGATGTTCTCATAGGTGGTTCTGGGACTCTTAGTTGTGGTAAAACAAACCATGAAAGCTGCAGATTATCTGAACATAGCTGAGAATCAGTTGTATGCTTACATGGCATCTGTCTTCCCAACTGGAAATGGGATCTTCCAACAGGACAAATTCCCATGTCACAGGGCTGGAATTGTTAAGAGGGGTTCAAGGAGTGTAAGATGAATTCCAATTAATGTCCTGGCCACCTAACTCACCAGATCCGAACCCAATAGAGCACATTTGGGATGTTATTGAATAGCAGTTCAGAGCTCAAACATCACTATGCTGGAATATCTCGACTTTGTGTGACCATTTAGATTTTGTGTGACCACTTGGTAGATGACTGGAGACAGGCACCATCTACCAAGAGCTTGTGGCATCTATGCTAAGGTTAAGTTGCAGGTGTTTTGCAGGCCAGAGGTCACACAGCACGTTATTGAGTCGGTGGTCATAATGTTTTGGCTCTTCTGTGCATAGATAACTTTTATTGTTTTATCTGATGCCTTTCCAGAAGTGTGAGGTGTAGTGAGTTCCAGAAACTTTTGAAATTTTATTTATTTAGTGATGTAATATATATATATATTAGTCTAGTAACTTTAATTTTCCAAGTATTCTGTTAGTTTTACTGTGATGAAAAATTTCTTTTGGATGTGAATTAAAGCCTAGTACTCATCCAGACTTTACTTATTCCTGGAATGAGGTGAATGCATAGGATTTGAGTGTGTAAATTAAATGCAAGTATGGTGCTCATAGGAGGGGTACATTTGCAAAAGTTTTTTTTTTTTTCATGCTGTTTACAATATTATCTAATTTTAAAAAAGTTGAAGTGATATTTTAAATACTAACTTATATTTCTCTGTACAAGAAAAAGGGAGTTTGAAATACTATTTTAAGTTATCAAAATTACAATAAAAATTATTTTCTGCATGAAACTACTACAAAAACTGAGAGTATTTGCTTCTGTAACAAGTTTTGTTAATTTGCCTATGGGTGTCTTCCAGGCTGTGATCGTCATTTATTAGGTTTATACATGACATCAGTGGAAGAAGGGATGCCTTTACCAGAACTGTTTTCTGATCCATCATGGATAAAAAGGTTAGTTTACTTTTTATTTTATAAATATGATAATTGAGATGAGCCATTACCTATGAATAGTTTAAAAAAATTCATAAAATATGGAAGCTTTGTTTATCCATAATAATTGCAAATGAAAATATGAACTAGTTGTTTCTGTTCAGTACAACTTTAATAATAATATTCCACTGTATTCCAATGTAGTAATATTAGTTTATCACTGCCTTCTCATACATGACTGACATGCAGACTGCATTCTGGTCACATGACTGACATACAGACTGCTGGTATATTTGCTACTATTAGCTGTTAATATTTGTTATATATATTTCGCATGACTATATTTGCTACTAAGTGTATGATTCTGATATGCTTAAGAGCAGCCTCATCAATTGAGGCAAATTTACTGAAAAACAAAATCCAGATAGTTTTTATTAATGATGTCATACAAAAGTATTGGTGAATCATTCTTCAGCTTATTATTCATTTCAAAAGTAATTCATTAAATATTACTCATGTTCATCCATTATGGTCATCTGGTAATCTCATCCAGAATATCAGGATTTTCCCTCCCAGTTACTAAGTTTTTGTTTGTTTTCTTTTTGTTCCATAAATAACGAAGCAACTTTAAATGATTACAGTTTCTCAATATTTGACACTCTTCTGTTCATTTTTGTGCATATAGGGAGAAATGAACAATAGTACATATCTGCTTCATCTGCATTTTAAGTTGTTTTCTTTACTGTATTTTTTTAGCAATTTAAGCAATTCATTTAACAACCATCCTGCAGGAGGTAAATTGGTATCTTATTCTTTTCTAAACATTTTCCATTTCCTTCATCAGCTAAGCCTGCTATCTGTTGCTACAAATTTACTCTTCATTTGGGTGCCTGATTTCGAAGCTTTCTCCCTCATTAATGGATTGCTGGCTGTGACATCTTTTGCATGAACTATGCATTTCATGTTTTCATTTTGCTTTTGTTTTGACTAGCAAACATTATCTTCATTATTCTTTAAAACTGTGCATAAGAGAAACTGAAAAATGCTTAAATGAAGAATAATAATAATGAATCAATGGAATTCATTATTGGGTTTTCTTCGTCATTTAAGCATTTTTCTGATTCATTATTGGCAGCTAATCACAGGGGTTAGCTGAAGTTATTTGAATATGGCAAAGCACATGTTGTTTATTTTCCTAAGAAGAGGGATACCTTTTTAGTTTTAGACTCTTTAAGGAAACTGGCTCATGTTCATGTTATGCATGGGGAAAACCAAAAATGAACAATGCAGATCAGTTGAACTTCCAACATTTAACATTCGTAACCACTCGAGCATGGGCGGGTCAGTCTCATAAATATTTTTTATTTCTGAGAACTTTATGCCTTGTACTAGTTTCTATAATTTTTAAAAAGTGAGTACAAATGATAAAAATGACTAAAGGTAAGTAAAGAAATTAAAAAGGGAGCTCTTTCTAGAGCAGTGCATTTATCAAAATAAAGTTCAAGCATAGAATTTTGGTATCCATAATTTTGGTGCCATGTCAAGGTCATCTAGAATGCCAACTTCCTTAAACTGTTTATTCCAGTCAGTCTTAAAATTTAAAGTGAAAAAATATTGGATTATGGCAAAGTTCTTAAAGGTTGTCTACTTAAAAGGAGGATGCTTTTGTATAGGATTTTTTAACCTTTCGAGCTTTATGGGTTTAGCTCTGAAATTTTAAAGTTCCTCAAAATATCAAGAATAAGTGGTATTTTCTTGATTATAATTAATAAATGACTCTCTCACTTTGTACCTTGAATATCCTTTTCTTCCAATAAACATCCAGCCAGAAGTTGGATACCTTAAAACCTGGCAGAAATTTTCATACATAATGAATAAGAAAGCCACTCTTCTGTACAGAATTTTATGTCCACAACACTGAGAGGGTTAAGGAGAAACTGGCTTGTATTCACATTACACTTAGAGAAAACTGGAATAAGTCCTATTCAGCAAGTCTGTTTGCCATGATTTGAATTTGGCAAAATATCGGTGTTCAGTGATCGAGCGTTGTTGAAATATCGGTGTTCAGCAATCTAGCCATTTGTGGGCTCAAGAACTTTGAAAAACATATTCCTTCATACATTTTGTACTTGAATAAAAACCCAGGCTATTTGGTGGCTAAATCCCTTATTTGGTAATTTTTCTCTGTCTTTTGGCAATTTATATACCAAAATCTCCCCTGGGGGGGATTTCATAGTTTCAGGAATGGGGTGAGGAATATGGTTAACCTTTTATTAAGTATTTAGTTTATGAATGTAAAAAATTACTATTATTCTAGTTCTGGTATTCATTAACATTTTCAGTACTTTTTCTCATTTAATTTATAAAGCATATTAAAAAATTATCTAAAATTAAAATAAATTTACAAGTATTTTTCAAGTTTTGGAATGTAAGGCAGGGGGAATGATTGTCTAGCAGTGGTGAAAGTGGTGCATGGGGCAAAAAGATTGAGAAACCACTGTTCTGTACTATGTTTTTGTTTTTATTTGGTCATTTTATTTTTTATTTACAACTTTACTTCAGTTAAAATAAGTCATTTTAAAATATTTTGGTCATATCAGCTGACTTGTTAATTGCAATAAGTGATGTGGTTTTGCATAAGTAAGTAAGATTTAAGCAATTCAGTAACAATAACTGAGTAGTAACATTGCCTGTGATCACATTAAGTGACATTTACCGTTATGCATAATTTTCAGCATCGTAAAATGAAAATATGTTTGATGAAAATGAGAAGAAAAGTTGATTAGCATATTTTGAATATAAATATTATAATAATCAATAATTATTTTTTAAATTCAAGTATCTCAGTTTAATTACTTCTTTTTAAGAATAGAAATATATCATTTTTTACCATCTCTTGTTTAAAAAAAAAAAAAAAAAAACTAAATTTTTCTGCAATATGCTTTTATAGTAATTAATGAAATAAACTTTAATAGAATTTCTTTTTTGGTTTAAAAATAATCCAGATTTTTTTAAATAATGTAACAGCTATTATATTAACATATTTTTTCTTTGTCTGGAAAATAATTAAATAATAGACAAAATTATATGTTAATTGCAATTATCTTTACGCCTATCTTGATCTTTTTCACATAAAAAAAAAAAAAAAAAAACATAATGACCAATGAAACAAAATGGCTACACTTGTAAGCTGTATTAAAAATTACTTATTTTGTAGTATATCAAAATATTTAAATTTCAGAATCATATCGAATATCAGTTTCAATCTTATTTTCTTTTACTGTTTTTTCCTGTATGTTATGTCCCTAAATTGTTTTAATATAAGTTGCATGAAATGCTGTTTTGCACAGTGGTGGAAGTGGAAATTTTGTGCTATCAACCAGTTGTTGTGGCTATACTCCTCTTGGTGGATGTGTAATGCCAATGAGAGAAGATGGTTATGGCACATTTTATAATATTGAAAATCAGAGGTAAGTTGTGTGCATCTGATTATTTCTCCAGCTTTTTAAATTATGATTTTTTTTTAGAATATTGTAGTTTATGTTTTTATTTAAATTAAAAAAAATTCAGTAATTCATATTTGTAATCATCAAGAGTGATTTTAAAGCAAAGTAAAATTTTAAGATTTAATCACCAGCTTATTAAAAGAATTTTCTACAGAAATTAGATTTACTGTGATTAGCTCATGCAGCCAAACTGTTATATTTCTCTACCTAGGTAACATATTAGCATGCTACTTGATTTTCATGGCTTCTGTTATCAAAATGGTGCCAAATTTACTAATCACATATATATTGTGGCTGCTGGTACACACCGTTTACATGATTTGGCAGTTCATTGCAGAGGCCTGAAAACCAAGTACTACCCATATTAGTTCAATAAATTTAATGTTGCATTTTATAGCTTTATTTTAACTCCCTAATTTTTTACACTTTTTAAATTTTCAGAATTCTGGGATGTAATTTCCAATACTGCTTTTTTTTTCTTTTCTTTTTTTTATCTGATTAATAATTTTTAATTATTTTGATTCACATTAGGAATAGGATAAATCCTAAACTTTCTTGACTCTTAATTCTAAAAACTTTCTGAAACTCTAAGATCCTTTTTATAAGAAGGAAAAGTTGTAGTTAAAAAAAAAAAAAAAAATCTGAAATGTGCATTTAATGAAAAAAAAATGTCTAGGTTTTAAAAGTACACTTAACATGTATTAAAATGATGTAAGTGAGCATCAGTAAAACTAATGTTTCTGAAGCTATGAGTCTAAAAATCTAATTGTTATTTCTCTTAATGTTTGAAAGATTCAGCTGATTATAAAAGGTGTGCAACTGGGTTGTTGAATCTCAAATCAGTTTCAAAGTTTTGGGAATTCAGGGATTCTAATTCTTATCTCTGATTTTACTATAATGTATTTAAAATGATTTTAATTTTAATGAATATTAGATTGATTTTTCAATATATTTTTTACTCTCAAATAAAAATTGAATTAGATTTTTAATAATACATTTTATACAATTGAGAAAAGTTATGTTTAAAATTTGGATATTTTCAAATTGGTGTTTCTGAAGGATATCTTATACCTGTAAACTATTCATAAAATGGTACTAGTGTTTGTAACAACCAGTTTGCCAAAAGGGGCAATTTAAACAAAAGTTTTGGCAACCATAATTCCATATCTTCTGCGAGTACCTGCAAATGACTCACAAAATTGTACTAGTGTTTGTGACAACCAGTTCACCAAAACTGCCAATTTAAGCACAAGAAAAATTATTGGCAACCATAATTCATCTTTTGCAAGTATAGGATTGAAAAAAATTCTGTCAGTCTTTTACAATTTTACCACATGAATTCATTGAGATGGGACTCCTAAATGATATATTTGCAAAAGCATTTTATCATCGTTAGGAATTTTAAGGAGAAAGCTACAGTTTTGCAGCATATGCTTCCAAATATCTGTTGTTTGTGTAAGATTCTTATACCGTTGCTTTCCTATGTGCAGAGAGGCTGTAATTGATTTTGACAATTTTATTGAATTCTCTAATTCGACCTTTAGCATGTTTTAATACATGTTTGAAACGTACGGTGTAACATGGTAAATGACATGAACCATCTTGCAAAGTTACTCCAATCAATGGTTTTATTATAAATATTTAATGTTTCTTAAACCACTTAGTTGATCTGGCCAGTCATAAATAAAGCATAATGCAGTCCCCTTCACAGGAAAAAAAAAAAAAAAGGAATTTTTGATTCAGGAAATGGATGTTAGTAATAGGCATTGCTTAATTATACAAAGCCTTGTAAGTTAACTGCAGTGTTTCCTCTCATTATTAAGGTAAAATTTCCTTTTCTTGAAAGAATTTTTCAGTTGCTAGCAAATATAAAGTAGTTAATATGTTTACAGATGAAACATAAATTTTAAAAAGCAAATAGAATTTCACTATAACAAAAAATTAAAAATGAGGATCTATTTCATGAAAGACAAAAAGTACATGAAAAAATAAATTGCCATAGAGATCATTATGTGCATAGATGAAATTGAAAAATAAAATAAATATTGAATGAAAATTAACCATAATGAAGAATTTTCACAAAAAGCTAGCAAACACGACAAGATACATGGAGCAAATAAATGAAACTTGTTGTATTAGAGGCCATCAAATTTTATCATTATAAGCAATTTACTGTGTGTGCCCTGAAGATCTACAATTACTGACAAAATTATAAAAACATTACAGTGTTGGATAAAAAGAAGTAAATAAAAGTTAAACTGCTTTTTTGATAATCCTCATCCATATTTTATTTCATTCTTTTCACTGCAATGTTTAAATTATCAAAATAGTCTATACAGTCAAAAGTCGTTAATCCGGACTCGTCGGGACTTCGCCGATTCCGGATTATCGATTTTTGGATTATAGATCATCATTTAAATCCGTAAGATGGCATGCAGAATTTTAAAATTAAAATATGAAACCTTAATTTGAAATTAGAACAATTATGATCTAAAGGTATCCAAAATTACAAAAAAAAAGCTTAATATTATTTGTTTATTTTATTAACATTTCTTTCAATGTAAGTTGTTTAAGTATCTTTTTATGTGATAATACGTTCTCTTTAATTCTATAAAAGACATAATTTATTGTTCAGTTACAAAGTCGCTGTTAGTCCGTTAATTTGCTGTGCCGAGAATACGACTAACTTTCAATAGAAATTTTTTCGTTTCACTAACCTCTCTGTTCCTTTTATCTATCCATTTTTCGCAGAAATCCACTTTTGTTTGATAGCATCGAAACATAACTTTCGTTTTGTAGATCCTTTAAGTTCCAGCATCGGAATTCTATTTGACATAATCGAAGTTCAAGTTTACTTTTATAAAATTGCTCTTACAGTCCGCAAAAAATTAAGCGGGATCCAATTCGAAGATTAAGGAACAATGCAATCAAATTAATGAAAGATAATATATTTTTTAATTATACGCCCGTTACCTAAAACGAAACGCGAAAACGTATTTTGGCGCAACCATATCGAAGCGAGAGGTCTTATGATAAACGCCTATGCCATGGTCAAACGGCGCATCGCAAAAGGTTTTAGCTTTAGTCCGGTTTAGATCATCCGGATTAGGGTGTCCGAATTAACGACTTTTGACTGTATATATATATGTTGGAGTATAGAAACATTTTTACACTTTAACTTTTTACTGATTTTTTAATGATTTGATGTACTTTTGATATATTTTCTAAATATAAATCTTAAAATTTATGGTATTTTATTTTTTGTGAGTTGCTGTGTTAACTCATTTTCAATTATTTTAATAATATTAATTTTTAATATGTGTTTCTTTTCGCAGTGTCATAATGCAAGATCTTTTAAAAATTTCATAATTTCATTGTCACTAAATTATGTCATTAAAAGTATGTTAATTATTTGTCGGCTAACATCTACATAATTGATGCATTTGATTTAGTGATTGTAGTTGCTGATTATATTTTCTTCTGTAATTCTAGGTTTACATTTACCATATCTGCTTTCAATAGATGTCCAGAGACAAGTGCAGCTAAGTTTTATGACCACATTGAGCGTTCTTTGCTGAGCATGCAGCATTTGCTTCTTTCAGCTAAACTCTAAATTCATAATTTTAGTTTTCTTTGTAATCATAATTAAATCATGAAAAATGTTCTAACCTCCGAGTGAAGTTCATCTGTTGTGTTTAATAATATTTTTATTGAATATGAGTTTGATGTGAATCATATGAATATTTACTTTTAAAATAATCCTTATTTTTCAAAGACTCTAATCATTTAAGTGCAATTAAGAAAAGTGCTCAAGAAGAGTATGGTAAGAGTAAGCTCCTTTATTTTTTTTTTTTTTTAAACTTGTCTTCCATTTTCACATGTTTTAAAGTCCGTGATTTGTTTTTAACCTTTGTTTTATTTTCCTATGAATATTAAAATTTGCTCACAATAGATAAATTATGAAAGTATTGTGATATTATATATTTTATACTAATTCCTAGTGCCACATTAAAACTGATGTATTGCTACATAACCATACATCCATTTTTACAGAATCGTAATTTTTAATGTCTGTTTTAAATTACATAAAATAGGTTATTTAAGAACAGTAATACTTCTCTCTTTCCTCTTATGATTCCTACTTGAATCTGGATTTTGAATTCCATCATATTTACTCATATTGAAGAAATTTGTCCTCAATACATACTTTTTTAAAGTATCCATATATGGACTTGTGCTGTAACTTGGCCCATAAGCCTTGTAGCCTTCAATTTTAATCAGTAAATTTTAAATACTATAATGTTCAAGTAATATATCCACATTAGTCACAAAGATTCTGCAGATTAGATTAATTTTGCAAATTATAGTTTAAGACTTTTGCAAGTTTTGTGTATATTTTTCTCATTCTAATTTTTACTGTAAAGTATTTATAGCACATAAATGATTAAATAAAAAATACTCATTTCTTCAGAATTATTTAATCAAGATTAATTGAATGTAAAACAATTAAATTTCTTAAATACAGTTATTGATAAGTAATAATAATAATAAAGTAAAATCACCGTGAAGAGAAATTGGAATAAATGATAGGGAAAAGTCTTTTGAAAAAGTAGTCTTCCATTAAAATTTATCAGAATATTTATGGAAAACAATTGCAAACATTATTTTCAAAATAATTTTATGCTGTTAAATGAAAAAATAAATATATTGTTTACAAAATATCCAAAAGTAATGTTTTCTCTAAACAGTTTCTGCACCAATTCTTCTATAACATATTGCAGATGTGCAAACAGATCAGTTTCTACTTGCAGCTAATGTAAAATGCTTGTTTTCTTTAGCACCTTTTTCTTTTTTGATGTAAGAAAATACAAGTGCTATTTTTAATAATCTGTTCTTATTTTTTCTGATGTAAAAAGCATGCTTATTGCACATAATGTAAACAAACTGTTATAAGATGGAGACGGATAAAGGTTTTACACATAACACATGACATAAAACAAAAATTTCAGAATATTTTCTCAAAAGTAAGGATTTATCTAAATTGTGAAACTTCAAAGATTCATGATCATGTTTATTATAAGAAAAAGCACTGAAGCACATGTAGAAAATGCAGAGTAACTTTAATAATAAAATTAATTCCCTTTTTGATTAAAACATTTGATAAATATTGAGTATTTTTCTCAAAGTTTAGATTAAGCAGCTGCAGATCAATAGAATTCTACTGTATACATAAAACACAATGGGGCAATGTAACATTAAATACACTATGTTATTTTTGTACAGAATATACATTATTATTTATCAGATAAATTGCACATATTACTACAAAGTACATTTAAAAATATTCATTTATCTTATTAACAGATATAAGTAATCACTAATTTCTGTATAATAAATAGAAGTGATTGCTTTCTTTTAATTCATTGTAAAGTATTTTGCATTCATAAAATGGGAACTAACATTTATTATTTTTCATATATTGTGTATAAAATTGGTGTTTTAAATAAAATTTTTAAAATGTCAAAATAGATCTAATGTAATATTTTCAACTATATTTTCATTCAGTACATGATTCTATATTTTAATATCTAGTGTATTGAACTTTATTCATGATAGTGAGTTGTAGTACTTGAATGCATGCTTATTTTGAGAATTTTAACTTATGATTTTGTTTTATAAATGCAAATGAATTATTTCATTCTTATGACTATTTAATATAGTCATAAGAATGAAATGTTTCATTAGATTTTTAATGATAGAATTTAGATATAACTTGAGTTTTTGTAACTAAAATGAATGCTCGTGTCACTATATCAAATCTTCAATTTCTATAATATCCTTACAAATTTTTAGTTAAGTTGTTGGAAGTAGTTTATATACTTGTATTATATTTGAATTTGAAATGGGTTTCTTTTTCAAAAAAATATACTTCACATAATATTCTGGATTTTTTTTTTTTTTCATATTCAAATATATGTTGTTACTGTATAGTTTTGTATTAATTTTTTCATATAAAAATTGTTTTATATTTTGTACTGAAGGTTAGTGTTTGAATACAACATATTTATAAGACCATTGAAATATGTTTGACAGGCAGCATTTTAAACCAAACATGAATGTTTTAAAATTATTTTTTAAATAATTTTTTCTATGGTTTTAATCCATATGCTTTTTTTTTTTTACTTTTTTAGATCTTATGAGTTGTTCGTCCTTATATTTTATTGTAAATAATTTTGAAATTTGTAAAAGAAGAAGGCTTTGTTCTCAAGCAGCCTTTTATACAAAATGTGTCTGCATATTTCCTTGTTTATTCTGTTTTTAATTATGAAATTCTTGTTCTTTTTTCTAACTTGGCATAATACAGAGTGCAGACTATCATCATTAATATTTTTTCAAACTTGTGTGTTGTGTAAAGGGAAGCTTTTTTAAAAAAACAGTATTTTAAACAAAACTTAATTTTAAGTTCTGAAATCTGAATGATTTCTTCTAAATTTGTGCTTCATTCTAATTTAGTATAGTACAAAATATGAAGCATTGTACTTTACAGTAAATCATTCAATATGTGCTGTGTGAAAGATGGCTTCCTTAAAGAGGCAGCAGTATCTACAGAATGTTATTTTTAGAAACAAATCATTCTTAATTCCGTGTTTGATTTATGTTAATTCATATTCTCTTTGTCTTGTTTTAGTTTGATACAAAGTCTGCAGAAGCGCAATTTTATGTATTTATTTATTTTTAATCATTTGAACCTAGTAATTTCCTGATTCTGTAACAAATCATATCTGCGAATGCACGAAACTCGTTGTGATACGATTTGCATTGGAATGAGAACAGAAGAATTAAAATGTTGAGAATAAATCCAGCTTTGCACAACAATGAGCATTAAAGTTAGCAAAATAAACTAAATCATGAAATTAATCATTCTATGGGATGTTTCCTGTAAAAACACTGTTAAACATTAATGCCTAAAACTAATAACCAATTGTTTCAAATTTAATCCTAAGAATGAACTTCCACTGCATGCAGATAGAAAAACATTTGGCTGCTCTCCTTTCACATTGTGGGATGATGGGAAGGAAGAGGTTTATCCCTTTCACCTTGCAAGAGCAACTGAATGAATCCATGCCATACATGTTTCCCCCTTCTGCTTTTCTAATACAAGATAAGTTGTATAAAGATTAGTTTTCCATTCAGAACATTATACGAAGAAAAAGGCCTAAGTTTTGAAGCTAAAGCAATTCTGAATATGCTTTTGTGTCGTTAATGATAAAATTTTTTTATGATTGTTACTGTATTATTATTGTAACAACATTATTAATTCTTTAAGCTAAATTTTATTATGCGTTTTTGGTGAGTATAAGAATATATGGGAAAACAAGGACCATTTTCAGTACATATTTACTATAAATTCACA